AAACAAACAAACAAAACGGTCTTCCCAGGTATTTCAGACTTAAGTTTTTTAAATTGGTAGGGTTTTAGTACATTTATTTATTTATGGGGTGGAGGGTACCACTTGTAGGCAGGGATTGGTTCTCTCTTTCCATCATGTGGGTTCCAGAAACTGAACCCAGATCATCAATCTTGGTGGCAAGCATCAGGCTGGTGTAGATCTCAATATCCTCCTGCCTCAGGATATGAAGCAAAAAATGGAATTCCAACAACTGTCTTAATTACAAAATTAGATGCTACATAATTTTATATACAGACTATAAAAACTAGACTGCGTCATAAAAGGGCAAGCAGAGTCTTCTGGTATAAACACTGGCTCTTGTCATGGGCGTTTGTGGCATCTTTTCAATTTTCAAGAGAAATTACTCCAAAACAAAGAAAAACATCTTCCCTACAAAAGCCATAGCAAATGCTGTGATGAGGGTTAAGGAAAGACTTCCACCCACCTAAGAGCCCAAGTCCATAATTTACTAAACAGACTAACAATGTACTACACTGTGTCAGGTAACTAAGCACTTTTACATAAATTAACCCACTTAGTCTTCAGAGCAACCCTCTGAGATAGGCACTAGTCTTTTCCTACCTTACAGGGTCAGAAAAATAGAGGATATAAAGTTAAGTACCCTGGGCAAGATCTCAACTGGTGGCTACTAGCTAGAATACCAAGCCAGAGAGGTGAGCTTTAGCACCTTCTACTGCCTTGCAGGCAAAGAGGGTTCTTCACTCATCACTAGACACCAGAGACGATACTAACTAACTAACTAACTTTCTAAGAGACACAAAATACTAGGCCAGCCCCATGGGTCTATAATCCATGCAGCCAGGCTTGGGGAATTATTCAGCAGCCCTTTCAGTACCGCTCCACTCAAATGAAGAAATGCCAGGCAAATGCAGCGAACACTTGTTCTCTTGACACGTACACTGAGAGATTCAGTGGTTAAGAAGGCCCAAGAGTTCAGTTCCCAGCACCCATGCCTGGCAGCTCACAGCTGCCTGTAACTCCAGCTCCAGGGCATAAACTTCTTCTGGACCCTGAAGACACCTGCAAGCCTGTGTGCAGACCCACACACAGACACACACAGACACACATAGACACATTAAAAAAAAATAATAAGGAAATAGTAGCCGGGCAGTGGTAGTGCATGCCTTTACTCCCAGTATTTGGGAGGCAGAGGCAGGTGGATTTCTGTGAGTTCAAAGCCAGTTTGGTCTACAGAGAGAGTTCCAGGACAGGCTTCAAAGCTACAGAGAAATCCTGTCTCGAAAAACCAAATAAATAAGTAATGAATCTTTCTAAAACATAAAGAAAAAATGGCCTTACAGCTGTCTATATGTCCTAGAAGGTAAAAGCACTTGTCACATGAGACCCCTCATAAAGATAGGAGAGTACCAACTCCACAGAGCTGTCCTCTGACCTCCACACACATCGTGGTATACTCATGCCTGCACTCACACATACTCATACACACACACTCACTCACACGATTAATATTTGGGGGGAAATTTGTTAAGTACATTTAAGGGTACTGAAAAGATGGGTCAGCAGGTTTGCTGCACCTGAGTTCAACCCCTAGACTCCACGTAAAACCAAACACAGAGACACAAGTCTGTAATGCCGGCACCAAACATGCAAAGATAGGCTTGCTGGTGCTCACTGGCTGGCCAGTCTAACCAAAGCCACAAATGCAAGCATCAGGGAGAGATCCTGCCTCAAAAAATAAGGTGGAAAAGTAAATAAAGAATGTAGAGAGTGGCCAGGTGGTGGCAGCACATGCCTTTAATCCCAGCACTGGGAAGGCGATGCAGGCGGATCTCTGTGAGTTCCAGGACAGCCTGCTCTACAAAGCCAGACAGAGAAACCCTGTCTCGAAAAACCAAGAGGGGGGGAGGAGGGGCTGAAGGAAGTGGCTTGCAGCTGAGAGCACTGGCTGCTCTTCCAAGGGACACAGATTTGCCTCCTGGCCTTCCTGACCTCCACATGGGGCCTCACAACAGTGCCTAACTCCAGTTCAGGGGTTAAGAAGCTCTTCTAGTCTCTGCAGACACCAAGACCATACAGACGTACACACAAAATATACATAAAATAAAATCACATAAAATAAACAAAGAGCAACTGAAGAACCATCTAATTGACCTCTGACCTACACACACACACACACACACACACACACACACACAGAGAGAGAGAGAGAGAGAGAGAGAGAGAGAGAGAGAGAGAGAGAGAGAGGAGGGGGAAGAGAGAGAGAGAGAGAGAGAGAGAGAGAGCTGGGCATAGAACCAAATGCTTTTAATCTCAGCACTCAGGATGCACAGCCAGGTGGAGCCTGAAAGCAGCCTGGTCTACATAGTGAGTCCCAGGCCAACTAAGGGCTACATATTAAGATTGTGCCTCAAAAAACAAAACAAAAAAAAAAAAAAACAATTAGTTAGTTAATTAATTAAAAGATTTTCTAATTAAAACTGAGGCTGGAAATGCAGCTCAGTTGGTAGACTGCCTGCTTAGCACACACAAGGTCCTATTTCGATCTCTATTACCAACAACTTGGTGGTGGCACACCTATGAAGTTTCACTTATAAAGTAGAAGCAGGAGGGTCAGGAGTTCAAGGGTACCCTCGGCTATGTGAAGCTCAAGGCTATTTGCTTTACATGAACTGTTGTCTCAAAAACAGATAGACAAGTAATGCCTGCGTGTACATCTCCTACAACAGTGGTGCATGCCTACAATCTCAGCGCTCAGGAAGCTGAGCAGGAAGACCCTGTCTGGGCTAGCCAGTGAGATACACACACACACACACACACACACACACACACACACACACACACAGGCACGTCATATATGTGGGCTTTCAAGACAGGGCTTCTCTGTGTAACAGCCTGGGCTGTCCTGGAACTATCTTTGTAGATCACGCTGGCCTTGAACTCACAGAGATCCACCTGCCTCTGCCTGCCGAGTGCTGGGATATGGATATTTTTTTAAGTGTGTCATCTGCAGCGTATTGTTGGTGACAGACCATAACAAAAAGAGTTCAACTTTTCCCCTCAGGCTGCCAGCACACTCTGATGCAATCCCATCTCTATCGGCTTTGGAAAGGAGGGCAAAGGAGAGGCAGGGCTGAAACCAAACAAGAGCTGGGCAAACCGCAAAGGCCTTCTACCCCTCGAGGCCAGATGGCCTACAAACCAAGCACCAGAACAGTCAGGCCTGCTACACAGAGAAACCCTGTGAGAGACCTTAGCCCCCTTCCACACGTACAAAGAGGGGGATCCCCAGAAACACAGGAGCCCCTGAGCACACCAAGTGCTCCGAGTGGGAGGACTTTTAGCGCCCTTCATAACACTGGAGGTGTCCTGAAGGAATCAGAAACTGTGGATGAATTTCAATCCCATTCCTAAACAGTTCAGGAAAACTCAGGCAGCAAGGCACTTGGCAGTTTAGCAAACTGGGGGTGGAGGGTGGAGAAAGAAGTCCCTTCTTCCAGGACCCTGGGCGGTGAGAAGGCCAGAATCATCCCCAAGTGTTGGTGCTGGCTTACAGCACACACATCTCCCTGAATTACCCATTCCACTAACAGAGGCCGACCTAAGTGTCTCCTCCTCAAGTATGATCCCTCTAATTGACTTATCGTGAGTAGAAAGACAGTAAGTGGTAGTCCTCTGCCTAGGAAGGAAGTGAACTATTGGCCAGTGGCTGAAAACTCTTACAGGAGCTTCAAGAAGGTGGGAGATGAATGAGATTCCCAGGCTCATTTTTTTTTCCTCTTCCTAGGTCTATCCTAATTAAACTTAAACATAGATGGCCAACTAGTGGAGTCACACACAGTGTGGGCTGAAATCAAGGCTCAGCGGTGCACATGATTGAGGGCGGGTTGCAAAACCCCGCTACCCACGGCTGCACTTTACAAAGGTTAGTTAATCAACACTACTCAGTGACCCAAACAGAGGGCTCAGCAGGCAAAGGGCTCAGCAGGCAAAGGCGTTTGCTGCCAAGCCTGAGGACCTGAGTTCCATCTCCGCGATCCACAAGTTGGAAGGGGAAAAAACGACTCCTGCAAAGTTGTCCCCTGACTTCCATCAGCACCACGGCTGGCACATACACACCAAAATAAACAAAATTTAAAAGTAAGCATGGCTTGTCTTCGGCGTGCAGGCAATAAAGGGGCTGTCTCTTAGCATCGTTCCGCATCCCTCTCCTCCTTTGAATTACAAACCCCATTCGGAGGCCTCATCATCACTGCCTCCCCACCGCAGAAGCCCAGGCATCAGCAGTGGCCCGTAACTGGAGCGGGATTTGGTTCAATCTGCAGGTGGCGAACTCTGAGGGGGGGGAGTCCTTGGCCAGGAAAACCAAACCCAGAGGAGCGAGGGTTGGCTCCTCGGCCAAAGGCTCGGTGGGTGGCGTCTGTTATTTGCAGTCCGTCCACTCCGTGGTAACGCACGGAGAGGGGAGAAGTCCTCGGAGCGACCCTCCAACTGGCCGGGGGAAGCCCCAAGGTGACCGAAGGCCAAGATGCTGCTGGCCCTGGAGGGGCTGAGGCACGGGGAGCGGAGTCGCCAGGCCGCTCCCCACAGGGGACAGCCGGGTGGGCACGCAACCAACGAGCCTAGCGCTCCTCTCCTGCAGCGCGGCCCCCGCATCTGTGGGCTGAGGACCCGCCATCCTCCCGCCATCCTCCCGCCCGGGTCCAGCGGGCTCCCAGAGGCGTCCGGCCGGGAAGCGGTGGCCTGAGGCCGCGGCCGACACCCCGACCCCGGAATGTGGCGAGAGAGGGGTCACCGGGGCAGGAGCCCGGCCGGGGGCACCCGGAGAGGGGCGGGGCCCGGGGAGAAACGAAGCCGGCGGCGCTCGGCTTCGAGGACTCGGGGTCGCCACGCCGCGGCCGGCCGCGCGCCGAGCGCCGCCGCAGCCCCGGCCCCGGCCCCGGCCCCTGCCCGTCGCGGCGGGGCCGTCCCACTCCCCTCACCTGGTTCGGCTGCTCTGCCCGCTCCGAGGACGCCATCTTTCCGAGGCCTGACTAATCGACCGCCGCTGGCCCAAGTGTCTCCCAAGAGCGCTCGCTCTCGCTCTCCAGACAAGACCAAAGTAGAAGGGCCTGAGCCTGTCGATGGGGGCGGGCTCGGGGCACAGAGGGCTGAGCCCGGTGTCCAGGTTCCCCAGCAGTTCACAGGGAGACCCAGGGTGCGTGTTCTCTGATTTTAATAGAACAACTTTTCTTGTGGCTTTGCATTGTTAACGTTGTGATTTTAGTCACATCCTCTCCCTCCTGTCACTCCCCCCATATGCCCCACCAGGGTCCCCTTCTTTGTAAAACGGAATTTATTTACATGTCTGTGTATGTAGATGGGTTTGCTTGTGTTTTCTAGACAAGGCCTCGTGTAGCCTCAAACTTTCTAAGTAGCCCAAGATGAACTTCTGATCCTCCTGTCTCCGCCTCACGTTGCTGAGATTACAGGCATACCCACGTTTTTATTCTTGAATTTAATCTCTCCCTATTCTCAGAGAACCGTGGTCACATTTAGGGACTTTTTATTTACTGAACACATGAAAATGGAAGTCAAATTTTAGGCATTTGGTACAGTGTTATTCAATGAGTACCTACTGTTTCTCAGAAGTGTTCACGGGTACTAGAAATAAAAAGAGGGGACTCTCTCTCTCTCTCTCTCTGTGTGTGTGTGTGTGTGTGTGTGTGTGTGTGTGTGTGTGTTTTGTTTTGTTTTTGAGACACGGTTTCTCTGTGTAAATTTGGTTTTCCTGGAACTCACTCTGTAGACCAGGATGCCCTTAAACCCACAGAGATCCACCTGCCTCTGCTACCCAAGTGCTGGGATTAATGGCGTGGACCACCACCGCCTAGCTACTTTAGTTTTTTGAGACAAGATCTCACTATGTAGCCCAAGCTGGATTGAATTCAAGATCCTCCTGCTTCTGTCTCCAGAGTTCTGGGATTACCAGTGTGTGCCAGCATACCCTGCTCTTACATCTTTTATCACCACCACCACCATCGTATCACACTATTTTGTATGTATATGATGCTGGGCCCCTGTGTGATAAGCAAGTGCTCTACCCCTGAGCCACATCCCCAATTCCATTCTTTCCATGTTAAACACTAGTTCTTCTGGAGGAGACAAATTTCAGCATAACAAATGCAGTACACCTTTACCTAGTTAAAGTAAATACTCCATAACATTTCCCCCGTTTTGTCTAAATAAAAAGGAAGGTTTTAACTTTAAAACAGTAAAACCATACACATTAAGAACAGCTATCAAGTAAAAATTACATTTACACCGGTTGGTGATGGTGCACACGTTTAATCCCAGCACTTGAGAGGCAGGTGAATCTCAGTGAGTTCCAGGCCAATCTGATCTACAAAGTGAGTTCCAGGACAGCCAGAACTGTTACAGAGAGAAACCCTGTCTCAAAAAAAAAAAAAAAAAAAAAAAAAAAAAAATTACATTTATAATACCCAGTCCCTTTGCATTTGGCCAATTAAGAGAAATCACTCTATTATCTATCCTGTCATGATGAATCCAAAGCTCTGTATATAGGCAGAGTTTTTCTGTCCCACCAGTCAGCCAGTCAGCTCTGTCCCACCAGCCTGCTCCCAAATAACCAAATACAGAGACTTGTTTTTATTTATAAATGCTTGACCAATTGCATAGGCTTGTTACTAACTAGTTCTTTCAACTAAAATTAAACCATTTCTATCAATCTATGTGTTGGCTCGTGGCTTTTACATATCCTCTAGCATGACTTGCTCCCTCTGCATCTGATGGACATTCTTCCCTTCTTCCCAGAGTTCTCTCTGTCTGGCTCTCCTACCTATACCTCCTGCCTAGTTAATGTCCATTTAGCTTTTTATTAAAGCAATCAGATCAGAAGGCACTTTGTCAAAGACACACCTTCACAGTATACAAAAAGATTATTCCACAACACCTATACTTAATTTACCTTCTATTGTAACTCAGGGAAACTGTAACTATAACTATCTAGTCTTCAACTCCACCAAGGACTCCTGAATAATATATTGCCTGAGTTAACAGGAAGTGCAGCACAAGCCACTTCCAAAACTATAGAAACAACAGAGACATCTGGCTGCCTGTACAGCTACCCAAGTTTCCTCTACAACCTTGGGGTATCCATCTTCAACCTATAGGCCTAGAATATCTGGCAGACTCGTCTATGAAGCAGGGATTTTGAAGGACTGTCCCACCTTATTTTGGCAAAGTTCAACAGTTAATTTCATGTGTGCCCTGCATGTCCAGTTTGTATATCATACTGTCAGCAGTCAAGGCAAGGGCAGTTTCTCACCCAAATGGCTAGCTTTGCGGATATTGACAGCAGACTCCATATGATGGTCCTTCAATGGCCACTTTCCTTTTATGAAGTAGATTTGTGCTGCCAGAAGCAGCTGGTCTTACTGTCATGAAAATCCCTGTGTTAACAAGACATTTTAAATGGCATATTCTGCAGGTCTTTGAAGTGTTTGAAGACCATCTATCTAAAATATATCTCTGTATGCTCTTGAAAACATACATATCTACAAGTTTGATTGTTATAGATTACTACTAACCTGCATTTCTTAATTATCCTAAATTGTTTATAATAATATCTTTCAAGGACTAGAACTTTATCTTACATTTTTTAAAGTTTTAGTTATTATGTATACAGTGTTCTGGCATGTAGATGGTTGTGAGCCACCATGTGGGCCCTAGGGAATTGAACACAGCACCTCTGGAAGAGCAACCAGTGCTCTTAACGTCTGAGCCATCTCTCCAGCCCCTTACCTTACATTTTTAAATAAATTGTATAAGTATAATACCTTAAACAAGAGTAGAAACAAATATACAGCATAACAAAATAACTTTAAATTTGTATCAGTGTGTCAAAATCCATACCAATGTAAATTATTTGAGGTTAATAGTTGTATTTTTATCCTATATGCCTACTAAATGATGACAAACAAACCAAATGACCAAAAACCACCTACCCCACCTCTTGGAAATATGGACATCATGTTCTCTAGACTGCTTCCTGTTTTTTGCGGATGATGGCATCTTTAGGGAACCCTGAGAAAATTGAGATAATGGTCAAGTCCTGGGAAAAGTGGTTGTAACATTTGTTGTCCAGTCTCAAAACCGTTCCCATGCAGAAGGGTCAATACATATATCACCCATCATGTACTTTTTTTAAATTCATTTCTTTATGTCTGTAGTCATATTATCAGGAGGTCTCCGCCACCCCAATAAAACTGATCTCCCGAAGGAATCCATAGCCTTTCCTTTCCTGTAGAAACAAAAGCATAACCTCTTTCCCAATTCAGCACATTTTCTGAATTCCATTTTAAACTTAAGGAATCCCTAAAGTATCTAGGCAGGTTTAATTCTGTACTCCCTTTTACAATCCCATGTCTCTCATCAGCTATTATTAGCTCATCGGCATTCAAAAGATTCAAACCAACACAGCACCGTGCAGGATCCAGACTCCCTGTGTATTTCCCATCCCACATAGCTTTTTTCTTCTCCTACTTCACACTCTCTTTAAAGATTTTATTATTCATAAACTACTTACTTTTTTCTATGACTGTCTAGACCCACTTTCTTTTCTTTCTTTACCCTATGCACATTTTAAACACACTGTAACCTGTTTGGAGTTTCTTTCTCCATCTAGACCTGTCTCTAGCCTTTTCTGAGCACACTGGCAGCTGGCTCCATCCCACTGGAGTCCTTGAGAGCTGAGCTTTACACACTATGAGCCTGGCCGAGAGCTGTGTTTAACCAGGACTGTATTCAACCACCCTGCTCTGGGAAGCTGGAGCCTGCACTGCAGCAGACATTTTTACTTAGCTTGCTGTCTTTCCTTTGCTTGCTGGCTACCCAAGTGCTCACTCAGAGCCTCTTAAAGGAGTCGTATCCATTTATTTTGTTGTTCTTTTGTTTTCGTTGTTTGTTTTTAGCTTTCTCAGGCCCTATGTGGGAATCCAGGCCCCATCTCAGAACTCCTAATGTAGCATAAACAAATGTAACACATCTGTAGCGTGATTAATAAAACTTCAGAGGCAGATATTGGGGTTCAAGCTCAAGATCAGAAAAGCAAAGCAGCCAAGCCACTAGAGAGTTCACATCTCTACCCAGGCTAAGACCAAAGCAGGGAATCCTGCCCTCAGGGTGACTGCCAACTGCAATGCTCCCCACCAAACCTCAGACTACACCAAACTCCTGTCTTCTGTTCCTCTCTAGTACTGGGACTAAAGGCTTGTCATCCCAAGTGCTGGGATCAAAGGTGGGAGCTGTTTCTCTTTTAGACTGAGTCACTCTCATATAGCCCAGGCTGGCCTTGAACTCACAGAGATCCATCTGCCTCTGTCTCCCAAGTGCTGGAATTAAAGTTGTGGCTACCACAGCCTGTCCTCTGTGGCTAACTAGTGCCTTGGCATGTGTGTGGCTAACTAGAGTCTTAGCTCTTAACTAGGGGTGTGGCTAACTAGTGGCTCAGCTCTGAACTCTGATCTTCAGGAAAGCTTTATTTGTTAGATTACAAACAAAATGTCACTACACACATCTTTACATAGTTAAAGGAATATTCCACAATGAAAAAATGGACTAGTATTAGAGCCCGGAAGAATATGTTACCATGCAGGGTCTGAATATTTCAAACAGCTGTGTAGTGTAGTTCACATTTTCCCTTCATGTTCTGACATTTGATCTTTTCATTCTGTCTTTCCAAAAGACACATTTTCTTAATTTTCGTATCTACTTATTTTCAACTCTGTAATCATTAAAATACAGTGACGAGTTCCTGATGAGCAGAACAGAAAAGGTTGGTTTTATAGCCAGAAAAACTGCAAAAAAAGAAAGAGGATTGTCACATCAAAGTTGCTTGTCTTGTAAATCAAAGACAAGGAGATAAAACAATAGAAAAATAACCGGTCAGTCAGCATCAGGCCACTTGAAGTTATCTTGTGTAAGAATTAAGGCAGAGGGGCCTTCATGGTCATGGCAAGCAGAGCTAGCCTTTTTGAGAAATCTCTTTCTCTAATCTGGATTTCTGGGAAGTTCAGATAAACATCTTGTTTTGAATTCAGTGATATGAAATCTTAGCTTGAATGTATCCTCCCCCATGCTAGGAACCAAACTTAAGGTCTTGTTTAGACTAGGCAAGTGTTGTAGAATTTAGCCACTCCTAAGTCTGTATTTTGATTTTTAGCTCAATTTGTGAGGTTTAAATCAACAACTTAGTCTCCAACAATGCCCCCCTGTTACTGCCATTTAGCAAACTTTTTTTTTAAAATGTGCATTGGTGTTTTGCCTGCATGTCTGTCTGCCTGTGTGAGGGTGTCAGATCTTAGAGTTGCAGTTGTGAGCTGCCATGTGGGTGCTGGGAATTGAACACAGGTCCTTTGGAAGAGTAGTCAGTGCTCTTAACCACTGAGCCATCTCTCCAGCCCTTAGCAACCTTTTTAAAAATGTAGTTAAGGAGAGATGGCTGGTAGATGGCTCATCAGTTAAGAGCACTGGCTGCTCTTGCAGAGAACCATGGATTTGGTTCTGAGCACCCACATGGTGGCTTACAACCTCCAGAGTTGCAGGGCTTCTGTCGTCTCTTCTGGCCTTGGCAGACACCAGACAAATGTGTAGTACACAGAGATATATGCAAGTAAAACATTCATACAGATAAAATAAGTAAATATTTTAACTTCTTTTCTCTTATGTGACTTCATTTCATTTTTGGCAAGACTGAATATTAGTGTTCCGTATTTAAAATTGACTTCCTTCAAAATAGCCTGAAGGTTGGGGTATCTTAGAGATACAGGTGGGATAGAAAGACCAGGAGAGTTCAAGGGACACGCATCCCTCCCACGTCTGGTTTGCATTTCCAGACACCTGAGAATCAAAAATCTCTGCCCAAATAACAAGAACCACCTTTAAGTTTGCCTGTCTGGCAACAATAATCCCACTTCTGAGCAGCGTCTGTTGAAGCAAGTACTGACCCTTGTAGCAGGCTTTCTCTGAGCCACCAACCAGCTCCCAAATCATGACAAAGAGACTAGTTATGAATGCTTGTCCCGCTAGCTCTTATAACTTATTTTAACCTGTTCTCTTCATTTACCTTTTGCCTTAGGGATTTTTACTTTGGTTTCATTTTGCATGTCCTACTTTTCCGGCTTCTTCCATGTCTGGCTGCCTGGCTGTCTAGCCACAGGCGTCTCCCTCTTTTGTCTCCCTCCTCCCTCGTTCTCCTCTTGAGTCGAGATTCCTCCTCCTACTTATTCTTCCTGTCCACCAGCCCTGCCTATCCCTCTATGCCTAGCTATTGGCTGTTCAGCTTTTTATTAGACCAATCAAGTACCTTAGGCAGGCAAAGCAACACATCATTACATTGTGAAACAAATGTAGCAACACTCCTTCACATAGTCAAAGTAATATTTCACAGCAGGCCATCCCTGTGACCCTTGACTTGAACTTTGTCAGCATGCCTTTTTCGTGTGTAAGCCTGAACATACCCTCCTGATAGAAACCAGGCACAGGAGTGGAAGCCTGCAGTTATTTATTTATTTATTTATTTATTTATTTATTTATTTATTTAAGAACTATCATTCCCAGAATCTCAAGAAGCTACCTAGTCTTTAGGGAAGATGGGACTTACAGGTTAACTCCAGGGCTAACGTCTCTGAGAACTCAGTGTTGTCAGGCTATACAGATCTCTAAGGCTGGAAAAGGAAAACCAAAGCATATCCATAATCGCAGCATTTGCTATGCTGAGTCAGGAGGGTTGCCAGGAGTCATTGTTTGTTTGTTTGTTTGTTTGTTTTTAAGACGATATCTCTTCTCTTTTATGTAGCTCTGGCTGTCCTGAAACTCACTAAGCAGACCAGGCTGCCCTGAACTCACGAAGATTCTCCTACCTCTGTCTCCTGAGGAGTAAAGGCCTGTGCCCAACTCAATGGCAACTCTTTTTGTTTGTTTGGGTATTTGTTTTTGAGACAGGGTTTCTCTGTGTAGCCCTGGCTGTCCTGGAACTCGCCCTGAAGACCAGGCTGGCCTCGGAGTCACAGATCTGCTTGCCTCTGCCTCCCAGATGCTAAGATTAAATGCTGGGATTAAAGGCGTGCACCACCATTGCAGGGCTGACAGTTCTTAAATAATCATGGTTGGCAATGTGTAGAACATATTGAAATCTTGGGTTCCGTCATCCAGTGTTTTAAAGAGAAGGGAAGGAGAGGGAGGAGGGAGAAAAGAGAGAGGAAAGAATAGAAAAAAGAAAGCCACCCATCTCTCCAGCTTTCCTGAGCTGAATCCCCGCCCCGGAGGTTTGAACCCAGAAACTCCAACTCTGGTAGTCCCTGGAACGCTCGCGATTGGCCGCCACTAGAACTACATCTCCCGGCGTGCCTTGGTCTTTGCGTAACTTGTTGGGGGGAACTACAAGTCCCGGCAGGCCACGAGAGGAGGGGGTGTCCGAGACCCGGGAAGCGGCTCTGGGCTGTCAGGTCGCACTTTTGAGGATGGCGCTGTCGCGGGGAGCCAGCGCCCCGGACCCGGACGATATCCGGCCTCTCAAGCCGTGTCTGCTGCGCCGCAACCACAGCCGCGATCAGCACGGCGTGGCGGCCTCCTGCCTGGAGGAGCTGAGGAGCAAAGGTTGGCTGCTGAGGGCACCGGGAGGGGTCGCGAAGGTGACCCCGGGAGCCGAGGGACCGCAGCGGCCCTCGTGACATGGGCCTGGTGATTGACAGGGTTTTGGCGCTTTCATTTGTCTCCAGTGAGAGGCTCTGTGCGGATCCAGGCTCGCTGGCCCGATTTTGGATCAAACGGAGTCTAGCGTAGTCCTGGGGTCCCTGGCGGGGTGGAGTGGGTGTCCTCACTCAGAACCTGTTCCCTTGAAAGGAAGCTGCCAGGACCTGCCGCGTAGAGCCCATACAAGGGGAGCAGACCCGGGTTCTGAGCCCTGACTATGCTCCTGGACCTTGCACTTAACCATCCTTGGACCCTTGGTGTTTTGGCAGCGTAGTGCATTTCCAGCCCTACTTCAAAGGAATGTTGCTGCTCTCAAATGAGATGGTGTGTTCAAATTATTTACAAGCGTTATTATCCCGTGGCAACAAATTAGGTGTTCAAAGACGTCCTGCAGGTCTTAGATGTAAGCTAGCCCCGGGACTGTGGTCATAGTGTGTCCTAGGTGTGTATCTCTTCCTGAGAGCCACCGAGACCCTGGAGCAGGGTTTGATTTGGTGACAGGGACTCTGCATTTCACCCCTGGCGCTAGGTTACTTCAATTTTAGTGACGCTTCAGTTGCATTGGCTGGTTGTCCTTGGCACAGAAGCCAGCATGCTCTGCAGCTGAACCTAAAGGAGACAGGCTGCCCTATTTTGGGTGATGACAGCATTGTTGAGCCTCTTGCCTGGCAATAATAAAAATGAAAAGATACAGAGACAAGCTTCTGCTGCCGCTGTGTTTTCCTTTAGTTAGAACAGCCATGAAGAAGTACTTTTCTTTCTTTTTTTTCCTTCTGACACTGGATATGTGGAATTTAAGATGACCACTGAATAAGTGAGCGAGGCAGCATTTACTTGTCCACAGGTAATCAGACCAGGTTCTGGCTAAGGGCGCCTTTGTCAGGGTGCAGAGTAGCTGTGGGAAACATTCTCAGGAGCCACTCTGGTTTAAATCTCAGTGGGGGGGGAGGGAGCCTGAGAGATGGCTCAGCTGTTTAAAAGCACTGGCTGCTTCCGAAGAGGATCTGGTTCAGTTCTTAGCACCCACATGACAGTTCCCAACCGTCTGTAACCCCAGTTCCAGGGCATCCAGCACCCTCTTCTGGCTTCCTTGGGCACAGACAGGAATGTGGTCCACACAAGTACATTCAGAAAAACTTACATACAAAATCTAAAAAATAAAAATGAATCCCAACCGTGCCACTTACTGTGGGATTTTTAATAAGTTACTTCATCTCTCTGAGCTCGGTTCATTGTCCGTAAATCGGGAATAATAATAGTAACTCCCTTACAGGATTAGTGGTTTACCTGAAGAGCAGTTAGAACAGTCCAGGCATATGATAAATGTCCATGTTACATGTTACAGTCCATGTTACATCAGTGCTAAGAGTTATGGTCATGACTTAAGTATTATTATCTCCCCACAGTTTTACATAGCTCTGGGGACATGTGTGAGAATACTAAGAGGGACATGACTTCCTTAGGATGTTTGTCACCTGCCAAACATTTTCTTCTCAGCTTGTGAAATCCTGGCCATTGATGAGTCCTTGACACCAATCACGCTGGTCCTGGCAGAGGACGGTACCATAGTGGACGATGACGACTACTTCCTTTGTCTCCCTTCCAACACCAAGTTTGTGGCCTTGGCCTATGATGAGAAGTGGACATACAACAATTCGGGTAGGAACTTTAGGCTGCACAGCTAGTGTAGCTGTGGTGATTCATCTGGCTGCACGGGCGAGTGGTTGCCTTGTGTCTGGCTGTTACCTGGGCTCCTCTGTGTGCCTGGCACGGTACTAAGGGATGCAGATGAGCGAGACATCTCACCAAGGCTCACAGCAACTGAATCCCAGCATGTCTATGAAACTGGAGGTGTAAATCATGGCTCTGCCATTCCTAGCCAAGTGACTGGGCAAATTACACAGCCTGTCAGGTCCTTATTGAAATAATAATTATGGATTACAGTATCTGTCTGTCCCGACTGTGACGACCAAAAATGTCTCCAGACACTGTCCAAGGCATCATATTAGTGATTGCTCTCATCTGGCACACAGTAAGGTCTCAGAAAGACCTGCTACACTAAGGAAACCACCTTTCAGACGCAGCTTTATCAGTCACCATCGTGCACGCTGTCCCAGTTAAGGAAGGAATCAGTCCCTACCCCTTGCCACCGCCCCCAAGAAGTGCTAGTGAGAGTGAATATTTTCATATACAAAAGCAGAACACAGCCAAGCATGGTGGCAGGCTCCTGTGATCCTAGAACTTAGGGGTCAGAGACAGGAGGATTGGGAGTCCTAGGCTAACCTCAACTATATTGTGAAGTCAGGCCTAGCTCGGGCTACATGAAATCCTAGGCCCCCCGCTTCCCCCCAGAAAACCACACCCAAGCACAAAGACTAATAAAGAGAGGTGTGGTAGGACCTTTGCCCTTGTGTGACTTCGCCTTAGGGATAAGTGGCTGCCAATTTCTTTTTTCCCATTAGACACACGATCTTCCTCTGTAGACCAGACTGGCTTCAGACTCCCTGCCTTTGCCTCCTGAGGGCTGGGATTAAAGATGTTAGCTTCTGTCCAAAGAAGGCAGTGCGGTTCCACACAGAAGTAGGGTGTAGGACAAGAAGAGAGAATATTAAGGTCCGGGGTAGGGATTAGGTTTCCTGTGACTCCCTGAGAAAGGGGGTAACCCTGGCATGACATCATCCTGAGTCCATTCTCCATAGCGCTGTGTTGGGGTTGATGGCAAAGCGCCCCCCCCCCCCCGAATTACTGGCCTGACTGCCACTGTCTCTGATCAGATGGAGGAACAGCCTGGGTTTCCCAAGAGTCCTTCGATGCCGACGAGACAGACAGCAGGGTAGGGGTGAAGTGGAAGAGCCTGGCCAGACAGCTGAAAGAGGATCTGTCCAGCATCATCCTCCTGTCAGAAGAGGACCTCCAAGTGAGCCTCCTCCACAGCCCACAGCACTCACCAGCACCTGCTCTCACTGCACCTTAGAGTCAGCCCCCATCTCTCCTCTGTAGTAATTCCTTTTTAAAACTGTCTATGGATACCTTGGTCTTTTCTTTTTTTTCTTTTTCCTAGCTGTCCTGGGACTCGCTCTATAGACCAGCCTGGCCTCGAACTCACAGAGTCTCTGCTTGCCTCTGCCTCCTGTGCTGGGATTAAAGGCATGCACCGCCACATCCAGCTCAACCTAGATCTTGTTACATAGCTCAGGTTGGCTTTAAACTTGCAGTAATTAATCTTGCTGCTTCCGCCTCCCAAGTGCTAGAAGTTCAAGTGTTCATCACCACATCTGGCTCTGTGATTACGTTTATACAAATTTTCTAGAGTTTGCAATACCATGGAGATTAAAACGCCGAGTAAGCTGAGCATGGTAGTGCAAGCCTATACCCCAGTACTTGACAAGACAAAAGGATCGTAAGTATGCGGCCAGCCTGAGCTACATAGTAAGACCCTGACTGAAAAATAAATAAGCAAGCTGGGCCAAGGTGGCACATGGCTTTAATCCCAGCACTCAAGAGGCAGAGGAAGGTGGATCTCTGAATTCGAGGCCAGCTTGGTTTATAGAGCAAGTTCTAGGACAGCCAGGGTTATACAGAAACACTTTCTCGGAAAACAAAAACAAACAAACAGAAAACAATAAAGTGCATGAGTAATTGTGTGGGCTATGGCACTGATAAGAGCTAGGGAGTAATTGCTAATGAGTTTGGTTTGAGATGGTAACCTTTTTTCTCTGAGTGCTGGGATGGGGCTATACAGATGCTCCCTCACTGAGTAGAGGGAGAAATCGTCTTAGATGGGCTATGGTGTTAGAATATGCTAAAACTCCCCAAATGGGAGAATCATATGGACACTCTGTAAAAGCCCGATCCCTCCCACGATCACCTTTTCCCTCCCTGAGACCACTGATCTGTAAGTCTCACACTCCAGGACATTTTGCCTACAAACAAGTATGCACGTGTTTTCTCTCCCTTTTTTTATGTATGCACAGGTGTGTCTACTTTTTATTATTTATTTATTTTTATTATTTCCTAATTGTGTGTATATGTGTCTATGTGTATTGGGTTCAGGTGCCTTCAGAGGCATCCAGTCTCCCGGAGCTGAGGTTTCTCATGTGGGTGATGGGAACTGGACTCAGGTACACTGGAAGAGTAGTACATGGTCTTCCTTACTGCTGAGGCATCTCTCCAACCGTGTGTGTGTGTGTGTGTGTGTGTGTGTGTGAGTGCGCATGCATGCATGCACGTGTGCGCACATGTGTATATACACACTTGTGTGAAAACAGGGCAGTGCTCACCTGTGCATGCATGTATGGAGGCCGGAGGTCCATATTGGGTATCAGAGTGTACTTGCTAAATTAAAGAGTGTGTGCATTGAAAGCATTGGCAGGTTCCCAAGAGATAATAGGCTAAAAGCCTCAGAACAAGATGGCGCCTGCATGGGGAAGTTGGGGCCAGTGTTCTGGACAGAGGGAAGGCAGGAACCTTGTAGTTTGCTTGTGGGTATGAAAAGCTAGGCTACCGTCTCATCTCCACATGCATAAACAAAAATAAATAAATAAATATTTTTAAGGCACAGGGCTAGCAACATGGCTTAGTGTGTAGAGGCACTTGCCATCAAACTCGTGAACGTCACTTTCATCCCTGGAACCCACATGGTAGAGAGACTCAACTCTCCACGTGTGCACCCCGGTATCTTCACGCCTACCCTCACATGCACACTAGCAATACACACTAACAACAACAATAATAGATTCTTAAAATTCTTTATATTGATTCATTGTAAAAATGATCAGCCACCTCCTTTAGTGTCATATTGGATTTCTTTCTCTTTTTTTGTAAGATGTAATTATATGTGTGTGTTGAGGGTGGTATGTGCACATGAATACAGGTGCTGGTAGAGAGGCCAGAGATGTGGATTCCCCGAAGCTGGAGTTACAGGAAGTTGTGAGCCACCCAGCATGGGTGCTGGGAACTGAACTGAGGTCCTCTGCAAGATCAGTACAAACTCTTAGGTGCTGAGCCATCTCTCCAGCCCATGTGGTTGAACTGTTTGATTGGTTTTGAGGCAGGGTTTCTCTGTGTAACAGCCCTGGCTATCCTGGAACTCAATCTGTACACTAGGCTGGTCTTGAACTCACAGAGATTTGCCTTCCTCTGCTTTCAGAGTGCTAGGATTAAAGGTGTGCACCCCAACTGCCTGACCTATAGTTGAATTTTCAAATGAAGGCTGTTTTATTTGTTTGTTTTGAGATAGAGTTTCTTTGTGTAGCCCTAGCTGTCCTGGAACTCACTCTGTAGACCAGGCCGGCCTCTGCCTCCCAAGTGCTGGGATTAAAGGCGCCACCACCACTGCCCAGCCCTTAATTTAGTTTTTATGGAGACACCAAAACATGATTTTCCCTGTTTTCACACGAGAATCTTGGAAATGTCAGATGTCTTTCTCTGAAAGTAGAGGAAAAGATGAGACGTTCTGCAATGGATGTTTGAGAGCTGCCATACTCCCTTGAGGGTTCTCAGAGCCTTTGCTTGACCGCCAGGCCCTCATCGACATCCCATGTTCAGAGCTGGCTCGGGAACTTTGTCAAAGCTGTGCCACTGTCCAAGGGCTACAGAATACACTGCAGCAGGCGCTGGACCAGAGAGAGGAGGCCCGCCAGTCCAAGCAGCTCCTGGGACTTTATCTCCAGGCCTTGCAGAAGGAGGGCAGCAGCTTGTCCAACCAGGAAGGTAGGCCTCACACCAGGCTACTCTGGGAGCATCCTTGAGGGTGGGACCTTGTTTGCAGAGCAGCCCGCTTCCCTGAGGACCACAATCCCCTGGGAATGCCGCTTCTCTCACCCTGGCGGCTGCCTGCCTGGCCCAGTGACTGGGCCCATGGCCTGCTGCTTTTCTCTCGTCTACTTTGCAGAGTCCAGAGTTGCCCTCAGTGAAGAAGACTTGGATGCGGTTGACACGGGCATCAGCAAAGAGATGGCTTCAGACATGGCACTGACAAGCCGCATCCTTAAGGCACTGAGGGAGAACCCTGCGCCAGAGCTGAGTTTATCTAGTCAGGATTTGGAGGTGGGCGAGGACTAGGGGCCCTGAACTTCAAAGAATGGCTTTCCCCGGAACTGTAGTTTGGAGGTGCAGAGAAATGTATGTGGTTTGCAAGCATCTCGCTTAATCTAAATCCAAGTGGCTTTTTTTTTTTTTGGTTTTTCAAGACAGTGCCTCTCTGCATAGTTCTGGCTGTCCTTAAGCTTGCTCTGTAGACCAGGCTGGCCTCGAACTCACCTCTGCTTGCCTCTGCCTCCCGAGAGCTGGGATTAAAGGCACCGCCACTACCCAGATCCAAGTAGCTTTTCAAGGAAAAGGGATGGTCCTTAGGCCATCAAACATTAGTCTCTAGCAAAGACTGCAACAAGCTGACCTGGAGGAACTGCTGGCTTCAGGCTTCTGAGGGGGCTTCGCGGTATAAAGAGTCAGAGCTCCCTAAGTGTTCCGAGGCCGGCACAGAAGCACAAGAAGGCAGACGTCAGGCTGTGTGTGTGTGTGTGTGTGTGTGTGTGTGTGTGTGTGTGTGTGTATGTGTGAAGATCCGTACTTGGCCCCCACTCCCGAGGCATCAACTTGAGCTTGGTTCAGTTTCCTGGCGGGCTTGAGTGATCATGGCTGTGAAAGGCACGCCATACAACACTCCAGGCCGGACTGGGCTGCAGTACAGTACCGTATCTAAAAAGAAGAGGGGGAGGGGCATGGGCCAGGGCCACAGAAGCCGCGGTCTCAGTGTTTCTTATTCTTGATGCAGTTGGTCTCCAAGGAGGACCCCAGAGCCCTGGCTGCTGCTTTGAGCTGGGACATAAAGAAGGCAGAAACAGCCCAGCAGGCCTGCAACACGGAGCTCGCCCTGCGCCTACAGCAAATGCAGAGCTTGCGTTCACTCAAGAATTTTTCGTCGAGGAAGAACGCACCACCTGGGGGACAGCAGAGTCCCAAACGAGCGAGACAGGATCCCGAGTAGCTCCACCAGAAGCCACATTGCTCAGGAGAACCCTTGGTTTTGTTATCAAACAACTTCCCCTTGTCATTTTGCTACCTACATCCTACTCTACCTCCTGCTTCCAGGGTGCTCTTCTAGCACACGTGTCTTCTACCCCCCCCCCCCCGAAAAGCTGCCCCGGTCTGTATAATCAATGCCCTTCTACCTCCTTTTAATATAAAAAGAATTTTTTATTTTTATTTTTTGAGTCAGGGTTTCCCTGTGTAGCCCTGGCTGTCCTGGAACTCACTCTGTAGACCAGGCTGGCCTCGAACTCACAAAGATCGGCCTGCCTCTGCCTCCCAAGTGCTGGGATTAAAGGCATGCATCACCACCGCCCAGCCAGATTTTCATTTTTGTTTCTTTTAGGAGTGTTTTGCAAGCATGTATGTCTATGTACCACATGTGTACCTCCAGTCCATGAAGGCCAGAAGAGGGTGTCAGACCCCCTGGAACTGGAGTTACAGATTCTGGGTGCTGTGGAAGAGTAGCTACTGCTCTGAGCCACAGAGCCATCTCTCCAGCTCCCAGAATGCACTTATCGTATAGTAGGCCTCAGGCCCCTTGTCAAAGGCTGAGAAAACTTGTCATACTTAGGACTCATGTCCTTATTCTACAACTTGAATAGTAGAGTTTCAGACACAGATAATGGTAAAGAAAAGGCTAACAGTGGCTGTGGTCATGAGCTTACTTCTCAAGTTAAGGAATGTTGGTTTAAAGGCATATACTGCATCTCTGCAGACCCCAGGGAATGCATTCGTAACCACACTTCTAATATCTGACTCAGTGCTGTGAAGCCATGGACACTGAAACGCCTTTCCGTTTCCTAATATGCTTTGCCAGCAGCGGGTAGAAAGTGTAACTAAGTCAGCAGCGGGTAGAAAGTGTAACTAAGTCATTCCTATGCTCTATGGCTCCAGGGCTATGAGGAGCAGCTCGCTTCTGGCTTTTCTCTCATTTCTGCTGAGACTTCTGCAATCTACAGTGCAGTGTGCCTTCAGGGAAAGGACACTTAGTTACGGGGCCTTTGACTTATGTACGCTGGGAAGAAAACCATGCTGTCTAGAGATGCATTCCCAGTTACCTTTCCTTCTGTGTATGCGTGTGTGCAGGTTCTGGGTGCTAAGGCCTCATAAGTGGTGAGCACTTGCCCCCTAATGAGCCATGCTCCCCAAGCCTCACATTAGCCAGTTAAGCAAAGAAATGTAGTATTAAGTCTTGGGGTGAAGGTGGGGTGCAGAAGACAGATGACAACTGTTTCCTCGTCTACAGCGGGAGTCATGTCCGTCAGCAGCTTTTACGTCTCATAGTGTCTTACACTCAGTTCCTGCGCCAGTGCCACCAGCTCCAGAGTCTTTGGTTTTTTGTTTGTTTTTCAAGACAGGGTGTCTCTGTGTAGCTCTGTAGACCAGGCTGGCCTCCAACTCACAGAGATCCTCCTGCCTCTGCCTCCCGAGTGCTGGGATTAAAGGCATGTGCCACCACCACTGAGCCCTCCGAGTCTTTGTGATGCCTCTTAGTCTTTAAATAAAGCCACCGCTATGATGCCTCTCAGTCCTTACTGCTACTTGTTCAGAAACACTAATCGCTACCAAGTGTAACAGTACACAAATACAAAGGGAAATACCTCCCAATAAAACTGTGTGTACACCACTGTCTGTGTGTGACCAAACAGTGAAGCTGTCTCGTTGTTGGCTTACCTTGGATGTGACAGGCAGGCTGGAGCCCTAACAGCAGGAAGCATTGTCCTGGCAGTGAGATTTCCCCAACGACATTCTCAACAGGATAACATCTGTCCTGGGGTTACACGTTAAACGTGTATGTTCCTAGCAATCCAGGTTATATTAAAACTAAAAATAACTAACTACTTAAATAATCCCAGCACTCAGGAGGATTCCTGTGAGTTTGAGGCCAGCCCAATCTACAGAGTGAATTACAAGCCAGCCAAGGTTACAAAGAGAGACTCTGTCACAAAAAAATAAGAGAAAACTGAAAAATAGAATTAGGTTTCAGGCTAAAATAATTTTGTACAGGAGTTTGCTTTGGGGTTATATTTATTTATTCTCTGCAGTGAGCACACATATACCACAGAGCTAATGTGGAGGTCAAAGGGCAGCTTGTGGGCCTCGTTTCTCTCCTCCCACCACAAGGGCCCTGATGATTGAACTGGCCTGAGCCAGCTTGCCAGACACCAGCAGCTTTCCATCCATACGGACAATCAGCATGATTGCTCTGTCCTGCACATTCTTTAGATTTACTCAAAGTGTAGGAGAGTTTGGTTGCATGTGCACCATGTGTGTGCCTGGTACCCATAGCAACCAGGAAAGGATGCTGGCTTCTCTGGAACTGGAGTTATGGATGACTGTGAGCCAGCATGTGGGTCGAACCCAGCACCTCCTTCAGAGCAGCCAGTGCTCTTAACTGCTGAGACATCTCTCCAGCCCCTTGCTTCATCCTTCCCCATCCAAAAAGGGCGTTTCTTCTGTTAAATAACTACATGCTGGCTGGAGAGATGGCTCAGAGGTCCTGAGTTCAGCTCCCAGCAACCACAGGGTGGCTCAAACCATCTGTAATGAGATCCGGTGCCCTCTTCTGGTGTGCAGGCATACATGCAGGCAGAACACTGTATACATAATAAATAAGTACATCTTTTTTAAAAACTAGATGCTTTCTCTCCTGGTTTGTTCTCATGGAAGACATCCCTCTATGAAGCTACTGATTAAGATGTAGCTTAAGTAAGATGCTGTGAGTTTATTGGTCCAAGGCTCCAAAGCCTGCTACCCTCTGCTGGTCCCCTCAAAATCAAATCCTGAGGAGGAGCTTACGACTGTTACTCTCAATTCTTCCTCAGCAAACAGCTGATGCCAGACACTGGGATTCAAATGGGTAAATCACAGCTGGCCAGGTCTTGTTGGCACTGCCCACACCCTGACTACACCGGCTACAGAAAAGTGTGCTCTAAGAAGGTGTGGCGGCGCACGCCTTTACTCCCAGCACGCAGAGGGCAGAGGCAGAGGGTCTCTTCGAGCTTGAGGCCAGCCTGGTCTCCAGAGTGAGTTCCAAAAAATACCCAAATCCCCACAAAAAAACAAAAGGAAATATAAGAAATATACCAAATCCTGATGCAGAAAGTTAGGAAGTTACCCTTTAAAAGACCTTTCTGATTCCTTCCTTCCTTTTCTCCCTCCTTTCTCTTCCTTCTTCCTTCCTTCCTTCGTTCAAGACAGGGTTTCACTGTGTAACAGTCCATGCCCCACCAACCACCTCTCTGTGTGTGTGTGTGTGTGTGTGTGGTGTGTGTATGTGTGTGGTGTGTGTGTGTGTGTAGTAATTGTGTGTATGGGGGTCCAGGTGTAGCTACCTGTATGAGCACATGAGGAAGCCAGAGCTTGACGGGTTACCTTCCTTTCACTCTGAAACTCATTTGAGACAGTCCCTCATTGACCCCTAAGCTGGCCATTTCAGCCACATTAGCTAGGCATTGAACTCCCAGGCTCGGTCTCTGACCCCAATAATGGAGTCAGGCCACAAGTGAGCACTACTTCTGGATTTTTTTTTTTTTTTTTTTTAATATGGGTGCCATGGATTGGAACTCAGGTCTCATGAGTGCAAGAACTCTACCCACTTATCCCCTACCTTATTAATCATGAGCATAGCAATTCATTCTTATTTAGGGTTTCTATTGCTGTGATGCTACACAGACACCATATCCACGGCAACTCTGAGTGCTGGGATTAAAGATATGAGCCACCACTGCCCAACCATGGTAACGCTTTGTTTGTTTGTTTGCTTGAGAAAGGGTTTCTCTGTAGCTTTGGAGCCTGTCCTGGAACTCACTCTGTAGATCAGGCTGGTCTCAAACTCATAGAGATCCACCTGCCTCTGCCTCCCCAGTGCTGGGATTAAAGGCGTGTGTCACCACTACCTGTCTTTAAAGGAAAACATTTAATTGAGGTGGCTCACTTAAAGTTTCTGAGGTTCAGTTCATTATCATCATGGCGGGAATCATGGCGGCAGGAAGGCAGACATGGTGCTGGAGAAGCTAAGAGTCCCACATCCTGCAGGCAACAGGAGGTTGGCTTGAGACACTGGGTGGTATCCTGAGCATAGGAAACCTCAAAGCCCACCCCACAGTGACATACCCTCCTCCAAGGCCATACCCTCTCCAACAAAGCCACACCTCCTAACAGTGCCTCTCCCTGAGTTTATGGGCACTGATTACATTCAAAGTACCACCAGTCTAACACAGCTGATGCCAACTAAGGAAGTCTCCTGAACTCAGTAGCTTGGCCTAAGGGACTGCCCAGCAGGACCTTCAGCTTTATTGTCCTCCGATGGGACACAGTTAAAGCCCCAGCCTTAAGGACAATGCAAAGCCTCCAAGTGAACTTAAAACACCAGTATACCTTTGTTCTAGAAAAATTTCCAAAGACCAGTTTCTGGAGACTATCTGGCCTCAGTGAGACATCCCTGTATACAGACCCCAGCAGGGACTCCCCGGGCTGCTGTGCAAAGGTAACAATGTAGCTGTCTCTTCTGTCACTTCACTGTCTCAACTAGCAATTAGGACCAAGCTCAGCTCTGAGGACCACAGAGCCCAGTCGGCAGTCGTAGCTGGAGTTTGAAACTCTGCATCTCCAGCCAGCCTTGGGCCTTCCCATTTTAGGCCTGACTCTCAGAAACTTATGTAATCCTGGATATGGATCTGTAAACTCTTGAGTTTACCAGTTAAGTAGTTGAGTCCCAGTCTTTCCACACTGGAAGATCCACCCACTGCAGCGGCCCTCAGAGGAGGCAGCAACTGTGCAGGCCAGGCTGTTCCTGAACTCACAGCAAGCCTCTTGTCTCCACCTCCTGAGGGTCCAGATTACAGCCATAAACCACCACGCCCAGCCTGTCACAGCCCTTCTTGGAGGTCAGCAAGATGACTCTGAGCAAAGGCGATTGCTCCCAGACCTAATAACTGCAGTCTGAACCCTGGAACCAACATGGTGGACTGGAGAACAGCTGTTTACCGCTGCCACACACTGTGGAAAAGTTGAGATTCTAGAACCTTCACCCTTGGTGTTTCTCTTAATGTCTGTGTCTCACCAGTTAAATGTGCATATACCCAGAAAGGATTCCACTGCTATGGAGGAGAATTAAAACAATCTAAGTCTGGAAAAAACAATTTGCTCCCAACTTCCTTGGGGAAGACCAAGGTCCCGTTCAGCGAGGGGCTCAGTGGTTGCTTGGTTTTATAGCATAGAAAACAAAACTCTCTCATCTAACCATGATTCACTGGAAACTAACATGAATAGCTAAGACAACTGCATATAAAATATTTCACTGGGCAAAGTCTGTGTTAAGTTCCAACCCCGGGACAAACAGGTGAGGTGCCTATTAACACATCAATGCATCTGGCTGCCAGGTTCTCCCAGCATCCCCCAGTCCCTACCTGGTACAGGGTATGGCTGGCATACCCACCCTCTACCCTGAACTCCCCAGCCCAGGGGCTGGGCTGCCCTTCCCCCAGAGGCTCTTCCTATACAATCCTGACATTTTGGTTGCCCGCCCCTTTTGTGACTTTTGCCTTCTTGGCTGCTGCACCTGCCCCCCCCCCATACCCACAGGTGGCCCAGCTCAGCCTGGCCATGTCCACTCTGGACTCTCCCAGGTGTCCCCGCCTCTGGCTGTGCCCTCACTTTTATGCACAATAACTTCCCCTCCGCCACACCTAGGAGCAGTCATTCGTTACGGGTCCGGGATTTTGGGGATAGCTGTCTCCCAAGTCAAGGCAAGCCAGGCATGGCGGCACACACCCCGAGTTCCAGCACATCAGCGTGAGTTGGAGGCCAGCCTGGTCTGCAGGCCAGCCGAGGCTTTCCCTGCTTGGAAAGCAAGCGGAGTGGCTGCAGGCTGGAGGGGAGCAGCATTGCTCAGTGTGACCCTTTGGTTAGAAGTCTTTCCTCACAAAGGAAACTGAAGCTGCAGCCAGGGAAAAGAAATGTAACAAATTAGCATTTCTAATTACAACTGCTGTATAGCGAGTTTGAATATAACTTTTATAAGCATGTCAGCATGGTGTCGGCTTAACAGCATAACATTAGTTTTAAAATTAATTTTAGCTAAAATATGAGATTAATCACTGTGCTCTCTGAGCAGCGTTGCCAACTTGCTGGTGGTTCCCAGTGCCGAGGGTCAAACGCAGGGCCCAGTGGCTGTGAGGCAAGCGCTCTGCTTAGCAGCACAGCCTCAGGCCCAGGGAGACTTTTAAACTGGACAATTCACATTAAAAACAGACTGGGAAACAGCTGGACGTAATGGTGCTCACTGGAATCCCAGCATTCAATAATAGGTGAAGCGGTGGGTCAAGACCAAGTGGGCTAAATGTAAGGAAGACTTGACCTCCAAAGTCAGACGTAAACTGAAGACGATGTTTGAACTCAAATACACAGCCTGGGCTGGGCATGATCCCAACGCTGCAGAGGTAGAGGCAGGAGGATCATCTCAAGGTCATTCTTGGCTACACAGGGAGTTTGAAGCTAGCCTGAGTTTACACAAACTTTGTTGAAAAAATTATGTGTGTCATACACACACACACACAGACTTTTAGCTGTTTTCAACTGAGAGAAGACAAGCCTTCACCTCCCAGCACCAGGATGGTAGCCCGATCAATGGTCCTGGTGGATACACTCTGGAGAAACACCACCAAAATTTGTATTTGGATTTCCTCTTTGGATTTCCATTTCCTTACTTCACCTATTGTTGGGAGTAGCCTTTACTGAAATTAATTTTCACATGGCGTGGGAAGAGAAGTTGACTCTTTATTCAGACCGTGGTTGCATTTCACAGGGTGGCCAGGGTGGGGTTATTTGCAAGAGGAGAAGGTTTTCCAGAAGAAGTTCTTGCAGGGTTTTTTATCCTGGCGTGGGGGCTGCTGGAGAGGTGGACTTCCCTGCCGCTTAGACACCTTGCTGGCATGTGCTCCGATGAGGGCGCTGGAGCTGGCTTGGGAGGTAGACACCCTACTGGCATGTGCTCCGATGAGGGCGCTGGAGCTGACGTGGGAGCTCCACTCATGCCACCGAGCAAGGAAAGCCAGGAGGCCACTTCCCTTCCCCTTTGCAGCATCCTGTGTTTTCAGAGAAGCAAAGACAAAGGGGAGCAAGGCAACCTCTGGGCTAACTCAGCATCAGATGCTCGCCCTCCCTCTCAGAAAGCAAGCTGCTCCTCCACAAATCACAGTTCCCTCAAAGGCTGAGTCTGAAAATCCCAAAGACACCGCTCTGCAAAGGGAAATAGACGAATTAAAAAATTTTTGCTAATCTGACCAGGCATGGTAGCACGGGCCTTCCTCAGCACTCGAGAGCAAAGGCAGATAGATTATTGTGAGTTTGAGGCTAGCCAGGGCTACAGAGACCAACCTTGTCTCAAAATATAGATAAATGAATTGCTACCTCTACCTTACTGCTGAGGTCCTCAGCTATGAGAGTAGGAAATCTGCCAAGGTGAGTGACAGCTCAGACGCCCTGGGCAGACTCATGTTCAGAAACATGAACAGACTGAGATGCTAGAGGCTGGTCTTTCAAACTCCTTGGGAAGCTTCTAGGAGTATTCTGATGATAAATGACCCGCCTGAAACTCATCTGGTAATTTCAGAGAAAAATCCGTTTCTAATGGTCAACTTTATGTACTCTTCCTTGGAACTTTTTCAAAATTGAGAAAAAGAGAAAGTAAATCATTTGATGAAATTATAAATGTCTACCATGGAGAATGGGATGATAGGAATTAATGTGAGAGAGAGCACAGCTGTGTTCATAAATTAAGGCTCTGGGAGTCTGTGTGACCAATAATGGCAGGAGCTGGTCCAGGAGCACACTGTGACAGCCACAAGTCTAGTCAGAGCAGATACCAGCAGAGGAAGGGAGCAAACACAGTCTAGAACAGGTGTGAGCAAAGGGAAAGACAGTGGTCTGAAGGGACATTGTAGTATCCTGGGGTCTCACACATACACGCACGCACGCACACACGCGCACACACACGCACATGCAGGGCCACTCACTGAGTGGTCAGAATGCCAAGAATAGAGGCAAACAGCAGCCTAGCCTATGCAAGAGTGGAGACTACTCACCACACTGTCCTGGCGAGTGGGACCATGCTCCTGGGCAAGGGCAGAGGCTGCGGTCCCCCAGAGCAGCAGCAGCAGCAGCCCGAAGGCTGACAGCCACTTGTCTCTGGCACTGCAGCTACCCATCCTCTTTGTCAGTCCTCAAGCCAGTGCTCCTCGGATGAGGGTCTTCCTCTGGAACCTTGGTGTTTTAAACTCCGGTGCCAGCTGTTCTGGGGTCTGCACACGTCCATTGAAAACTTGCATGCCTCTCCACACTCGTGCAGTGACGCACGAGCCGGAGCAATCAGTTCTCACAAAAACACTTGTGAGGTTGGATTTAGCCCCTTAATTAAAGACTCGGGACTTTTCCTGGGCTTAGAGTGAATCTGCTCCTATTTTAGAACTCGGCACACTTGCTGTGAGGAAGTTCTGCTTCCTTGCAATTGTGCCTACAGCAAGCAGGAAGCCATTAGAACAAAGCCAAGCGATTTAACAGAATAGGAAATTAGGCTGGGGTAAAATGCTTAAAATGTGGGATCCGACCCATATGAAAGCCAAGTACGTCTGAGCAACTCAGCACAGCTCGTGCCTGTCATGTGTGAGGGCTCTGTCCCCAGCACCAGAAACGAAGTGTGTCGGAATCTGCTGCTATAAGCAAAACAAACTTGGTACAGTGACGACTCGGGGACAGAGGACAGCACCAGAGTTTCACCCAATCACAAGGATGAACCAAGAGCTTGTCCCAGCATGGCCTTCTGCCAGGGCCAGACCCTGGTTCTTCAGCCAGACCTTCGACTCCCTAAGTACAGATGCTGACGCAGAAGCCATAGTAGGAAGCAAGGGCCTTCTGCATCCTGGTGACACCGAGCACTGACATCTGCATCCCGGTGACACTGGCCCTAGCACAGTTTTGTAGCCTACAGTTTTCCAAACTCCCCATGTTAGCAAACAGTAAGCTTTTTTAAAAAAATTAAGCCAGTGAGATGGTTCAGGTAAGCTGAACCTCACCAAGCCTGATGGCCTGTCAGTCCCCTGGGACCAGCACGGTGGGAGAGAACTGGTTCAAACTGTCACAGTATGCACACCATAGCATGCACATGTGCCCACAGGCCATGCATGTTGACACACACCTCCAATCCCAGCACTTGGAAATCAATGCCTTATTCTAAGATTGGTGGTGCTTATTATTTTGGTTCAAAAAAGGAACAGGCAATACTTGGGAGGCAGAGATAGGAGAATCTCTGTGAGTTCAAGGCCACAGGACAGCCAGGACTACATAGTGAGCCCCTGTCTCAATAACAGAAACAGAACCTCCATGTTTATCGGGTTATTGAGATGTCTCAGTGGGTGAAGCACTTGCTACACAAACTGGATAACCTGAGTGCCGTCCCTGGAACCCACATAATGGTAAAAGTTGAGAGCACACTCAACCGGCACACCCAGGCTGAAGCACACCTGTGCCCCTCCCCCAGACACCTTCTTCTAAACTTAAGAGTGCGTGTGGATAGAGATGTGCCAAGTGGAAGATGCCTTTTTTTTTACATAGGTCTCACCGTTACCATCTGAGAAACCTGTACTTGCCCAGCTGAGCCCACCCCTCCCCCAAGACAGTGACAACATGCTGGGCCACCTCTCGGCTCTTCATGGGTCCTATGTTCAGAATTGTGGGGGCAAATGCACAAACCCCTCATAGCCAGGCAGACCTGAGAAACCCATCTCAGCCCACTAGAGACCACCAAGATCCACAGAAGGCTCACACCTAAAACAAACTGAAGGGCAGACGGGTGGCTTCTTCTGAAAGGTTGCGTCCCTTCTCAACTTCTGGGAGTCAGTTTTCTCTTCCAGCATGGGACTAAACTCAGGTTATCTTGCTGGCAAATGCCCTTCCTCACTGAGCCATGCTGGCCCCAGGCAACCCTCTGTACCCTACCGCTCTAAGGGAAAGAGGAGGCCCTGACCGCCGCCACACTCCTGGGACACCAGCTCGAAGCACCGTAAGCATTTCACACTGTGACTCCCCCCTCAAACAAACTTCTGCTCAGGAAAGCCAAGGCTTAATTACAAAATTGCTAGAAAAGTCACACAAACTGTGTTTCTGAAGAAAAACCACCGTTAAAGAGCAAGAAATCCTGGGGCTAGATGGCTCAGCGGTTAAGAGCACTGGTTGCTCTTCCAGAGGTCCTGAGTTCAATGCCCAGCACCCACATTGTCTGATGCCCTCTTGTGGCACAAAGGTGTACATGCAGATAGAGGAAAAAGGAAAAAAGAGTTAAGACCCATCACCACCCTTCACTGATGGCCAAGGGGTCACAGGTCTGAAAGAGCCTTAGTAGCCAGAGCTAAGTAAGAGCTTTATTCACCACTCAGAGACCATCATTTGGCCTAGAAAATGAACAGTGAAGGTCTATGCCTTTCCCCAGACACCCAGCATGCCTGTCTAACTGCTAACATGGGTCATCAGCCTCAGCCGCATGGGTGGCTTTGCAGCGACTGCTGGCTCTTTCAGCTGCACCAGATGTCTCGAAGCGGACAGCATGAGTCCTGAAGCATCTCTCCCTGTCTGTCAGACCACCCGGCGGTGTGTGTTTCTTCCTGCTGAAGCTGCTGGTCTCAAGTGGCCAGGTCTTAACTGTCACTGCCGCCCACTTCAGCATCGGGCTCCCTGGAGTCCCTGTTCTCATCCTCTGGCTTCCTTCTCTTCTTGGCCTTTCGCTCTAGGTTAAGCTGAGCAATCTCTTCATTTTTCTCGGTGATGTATTTTAGCTATGTATACACACAAAAAGAAAAACTATATGTAAGTCTTTAAATCTGTCTGCAAACTATGTTATAAACCTAAAAATAATCACAATAACTTATGCCTTCTCCAATAATCCCAAAGAACTGATTGGAAAGTCATCGACTGAGCTGTTGATCAGCACTAAAACTCTCTTAAAAATGGAGATGGACACAGTTCAGAGTCAAAACTCTGCTCTTGTATAGAGGATATCATAAGAGGGCCGAGACCCAGAAGGGTCAGGATAGTAAGCTACAGCCAGGTGACACCTCTAAGTGTCAAGTTTCTTCACCTAGAAAATGACAGCTTAGTGAAAATGATGCTGTAGATGAGAAACAGAAGCTGCTCTCATTTGCACAGTCGATCTTGCAGACTTGCATTCATCCCCGGGGCATCAGAACTGCGGGTACGGCTGGTCCTGGGCTGGGGGCATCCAGGCTACCGGGACACTGACACGGGAGGAGGAGCTCATGTACAAAGCCACCTAGTCTAAGTCAAGTTCAAGACTAGCCTATACATTCAGCATGACCCTTGCTTTGTCCCAAAACGAGAAATGGGACTGGAAAGCGGCTCAATGGTAACAGCACTTGCTGCTCTCAGAGGGCCCAGGGTTGACTCCCAACACTCACAGTCTCACAACCACCTGTTAACCCCAGTATCTGAGGTCCTCTTCTCACCTCCGAGGGCACCAGGCAAGCATGTGGTAGATATGCTTACACACAGGCCTAACACACATACGCAGAAACCAACCAACTCTAAAAACAGCAAAAAAAGAAGGGGCGGGGGGGGGGGGGATAGTGCAGCGGCATAGCGCCTGTCCTACTTTCAAACCCTAGCATGAAGTGGGGGCGGGGCGGGTACCACAAGGAAACCATCCCCAGAGACTAACCCATGACTAGTCTGTGACATCATGCTGTAAATGAAACATGGGACCAAAGTTTTGAGATATTACAAAAAAGGTAAATTATGGGATCCAGAGAGAGCTGATTAGAAAATTTCAAATTGGCCGTGGGAGATCCATCATAAAGAAAGGCGGGCTACAAATCACATGCAGGTCTGAACGGTTCAACCATCTCCAGTTTTTAATGCAAGGTGCCCTGGAGAATAACTACACGCCTTCAAGTGATTAATTGGGAATAATGTATTCCGGTGGGGAAGGGGAGTGAGGAAAGAGATTCATCTCTCACCAGTGAATTACTCCGCCTGGCTAAGAGCTTCACGTCTTCAGTGGTAATTGTACTTCTCTTTGCATGTCTGCAGGAAGGGCAGAAGCAAGTCACCAAAATGTTTGCTACTGAAGTGTTGAGGAAATATAAAAGTTCATGGTCAAAGTTCAGAGGAACAAGGAGGCCTAAATGGCCCATGTCATCAGATTCAAGTCATCGGGCAATAATGACAGGAAAATGAGTGAGGGTCCTAGCCAGGTACCAACTCCAGAGGACACAGAAGCCCTTCTGTCAACCCAGCCTGAGAACCCAGCGTGCTGGAGAGCAAAGAAGGGGTTAGAAGTCACCCGAAGTCACCCTTTGGTTGCAGTTGTCTGTGTGACCATAGACCATGACACCAGGTGAGTATACAATGCTGCTGAAGAGAAAGTAGTCCATCATAGGACACAAGACTACACCACTGTGAAATACAGGACTGCACCATCACATAACACGAGACTGCACCACCATCACAGGACACAGATTGCACCATCGTGGGACACACCAGACTGCACCACTGTGAAATACAAGACTGCTTCTGCTTCCGTAGACTAATTAGACAACTGAGTGAGCAAGAAAATACCCAGGATGCTGGCTCCTGAAGCTCTTCTCCAGGCTGAGTTACAAAGCACATGCAGCTCCTCCTGGAACCTACTTTCCTGCAAGCTCTGCATACACACACAACACACACACACACACACACACACACACACACACACACACACACACACGAGCCCCCCCCAGAAAAAAGAACCACTTTTAAACTGGTTCTGCCTCCTGCTCACAGCTTGGACCCAGGTCCTTGATGTCCTCCTCCAACCCTCAATAGGAAAGGTGGAGGATGCAGAGAGGGCTGCTCCCTGCCCTTGCAGAGAATAGAGTTTATTTTTGTTGTTTGCATTTTTTTCAATACAGGGTTTCTCTGTAGCTTTGAAGCCTACTCTGGAACTAGCTCTTGTAGACCAGGCTGGTCTTGAAATCACAGAGGTCGCCTTCTCTGCCTCCCAAATGTTGAGACTAAAGGCGTGAGCCACCACCGCCCAGCTGAGAATGGAGTTTAATTCTCAACATCTACACCTGGCAGATTACAACTCCAGCTCCAGGGGATCCACTGTCCTCTTCCAGCCTCTGTGGGCACTCCTGCTCATGACTACATACACACACGCACGCACGCACACACACATCCACATAAATATCTATCCACATAAATATATCTATGGCCAAAGATGACCTGAGATAATAAGCTACACTACGTCTCTTATTACTCTTGATTATATCCTTTCCCATTATTGCTAGCTTCTATCTAAACTGAGAGCTTCACAAGCAGAAATAACCAGAACTGTGTCCTTAATAACGAGCTCAGGGGATGTGGGCTCACTCTCGCCCATGTGAAGATGGGATCACAGAGCAATCACACTCCATCTAATGACCACATTCCTTCTCAATGCCTGAGTAAATGTGTACACTCCCTCTGCCATTTCACCCTAACACACAACAGTGCTTGCATGAGAACATACGCTTTAAGATTAGAAGAGGGTTCCAGGCTAGCCTGATCTACTCTATGAAATGAGTTCCAAGCCAGCCAAGGCTACACAGAGAAAAACCTGTCTTTCTTATTACAACCCCCACCTCATCCCTGCCAAACCTGTCTTGAACTAAAGCAAAACAAGATTAAAAGAGGGTTGATAGTGTCTCACTCTTACAGAACCCAGGCTGACCTCAAGCTGGCAATCCCCCTGCCTCTGCCTCTGCCTCCAGAGTGCTGAGATTACAGGCATGAACACGGCTTGGCTTAAACCTCTCATTAGGCAGTGGTGGCAGGCATCTTTAATCCCAGCACTTGGGAGTTTTCCTGGCTTAGGGGAGTTGGTGGAATATGACAGTTGACAGCTCTACCTCTCAGTGTGTACCTGGTATGTGTGCCAGATTTTGATGTTCTCACCGTGCAGCTGGAGGAGCGGGCATGCTGCATACCCTGCCATTGCTGTCCTATCTATCAGGAACTCGCCCAGGCAAGTCCCAAGTCTAGCAAATTACTCCGAGGAAAGGAATAATTGTCACACAGGCTTCATGTGTGAGTGTACCGCTTGCCGGCAGAGGTCACAAGAGGGCACCAGATCCGTCACAGATGGTTGAGTCCCCGTGTGGATGCTAAGGATCTAATATGGAACCAGCCAGGCGGGGGCGATGCCTTTGATCCCAGCACTCAGAAGGCAGAGGCAGGTGGATCTCTGAGTTCAAGGCCAGCCTGGATTTAACCCAAGGCTGTTTTGTATGCATGTATGTCCCTGTGCCACGTGAGTTCCTTGTGCCTGAGGAGGTAAGAAGAGGGTGTTGGGCCCCTGGCACTGGAGTTGTTAACAGCTGTGAGCCATCGTGTGGGTCTGGAATTGACCTCTGGTCCTCTGTAAGAACAAGTGCTTTTAGTCACTCTACCCCTAGTTTCTGGATTTTCTGACAAAAGCCTCAGTATGTAGCCAAGCCGGTCTTGAACCTGTACTCCTGCCTCACTTCCCAAGAGCCAAGATTACAGGCGTGCCCCACCACGCCTGGCTTGTTTCTGGAACTACACAAAAATACTTTTACAAAATGTCATTGACTCCCATAGCTAACGGGAAGGGGAACACTTACCTCACGGGACTTGGGGGCGGGACACACACAAGCAGCAGCTGAATGAGCTGTCAGCATCCCATAATACTCCCACATCCCTCTCTGCCAAGCTGATGAAGCTAAGCAGTTTTTAGGGTCTGGTAATACATACAGGGAAGATTTAGAGCCCCCGGGGACTTGGCTGCTTTAACTCACGGAAAATGTCCCTCCCAGAAGCAGAGTGCACACCAGCAAGGTGACGGCTAAGAAACTGAGGGAGCAGAGGCAAAGGAAGAGCGGCGTTCCGCCTCAGCCACCCCAACCGAGGCGTAAAAGCAATGGCGCCCAATTACCTGAGGTGCTAATTGAGGAGAAGAACATAAATCACCTGTAAGAGCTCAGGCCTCTCCAGCTGGAAGCAAGCCTCCCCCACTTCCCAGGAAGACTGTCTTACAGCAAACACGGAATAAAAGCCCCTGCCTGACACTCTCCGGACACCTGCAAGCAATCAGGGCTGCGGCACCATGTGGCCCCCTCCTCTCCATAGAGGGGCCGACCCCCAACTTCCCAGAAGACCCTGAACAACCAAGCCTTCCCCAAGGAAACAGTCTTTAAAACAGGCAGCCACGCACTGCAGATCTGGTCCTGGAGATGCAGTCCAGACCTTTGCCAGTGAGAGCCTGGTAACTCAGAGACCTTCCAAGGACGAGGAAGTACCAGACAATCCGAACTGACGTGTTCAGAGCAGATGTTAGCTCCCTGCAGCATCCATCGTCATCAGGCACGAGCCCCCAGAAAACAAGGCGTCACAGAACCCCTGAAATACACCGCCAGATGGGGGACAGTGATGTCAATGGACCTCAAATTACACAGCCGGCTCTTCTACCCACCTGGCAAACATTTCAAGGTCTTTGGCAAAATTTTCTGAAAGAGAGGGAAAAAAATAGATTTCAGCTGGCTTATCTGCACCTTCACAAGGAGTGAAGCGCTGGCTTCTAGTCAGCATACAGACTGGGCACACCTTGGGGGTGAGCAAAGGCACCCAGGCTAACAGCCACCCCAGGCTAACAGCCACCCCAGGCTAACAGCCACCCCAGGCTAACAGCCACTCCAGGCTAACAGCCACCCCAGCTTTTTTTCTTGGCCCTCTGGGACAGGGTGTCTCTGTGTAACTCTGGCCACCCTCAATTCTCTGCCTGCCTCTGCCTCCCGAGTGCTGATGGTGGGCACCGTGCCCAGAACCACCAGCTTTCTAAAATCATGGCCTCACCCTGCCCTTCCCAGCATCCCCCACTCTTCTTACGAGCCTTGTCCTAACTGTGATGACACCTTTGGTAGCGAGGGACCATCCTTTAAATCTGCCCCAAGTTATAGCTTGTAAGGACAATAATGTCCTCTTGCGTTGAGCAAGTGCCAGTGCCACTGTCTCGGCTGTCACATACGGCAAGCATGGGAGGGTCACAGAGCACGGAAATGGAAAGCGCGCCGTGTTCCAGCCACCACGGCAGTTTACACGGGGTGCTGACCCTGGTATTGCCACAACAGGACAACCTAGCAGCCTCGCCCCCACAGCACCCATCTTACAGCCATGAGGTGGTCAGGGAGACTGTGGCCAGGGATTGTGTGCGGAGGGGGGGGGGGCTGAGACACGCCAGGGCTCCCACCCACACTGGCCCCCAGCAAATCCCAGAGAAAGGCAGGGGCTTCGTACCGCACTGTCGGAAAGTCACCTCAGAGATGGCTGCAATGGTCTGCTTGCTAAACTGCACCTGCTTTTCCAATGCGACTTCCATGCAAAGACAGCCAACCGTGTAGTGAACTGCTGCCTTCAGCCTCTGTGGGGAAACCAAAGTTCTTCAGGAGCTGTAAGCAAGAGCTGGCTCACACACACCCTGAAGACCAAGGCCAGGACAGGGCTGCTCGGCCTGATTCCTGCAGGGCACTCCATCACGGCTGAGTGACACAGAGGTGCACTCCTTGGCGAATGACGCCCTCTGGAGTGTCAATTGGGGGGACATGACTTTCCAGCTAATGGTTATGATTTAGGTCACATAAAGATAAGAAACTATGATAGTCAGCAAGGGGAAATGACACCAGAATTTGCTGAACCAACCCTTCAACGACTGTCCAGTCCCTGCTCATTAAGGGCCCACCTGGGGAATATAACAAGAAACCAGTTTGTGGCCTTCAAACGGCTAACCAAAGACAGACAGTTCCCACCCCTCTGTTCCAAGTCCCCAGCAGCCTCAGCCCTCCACGCACAGGCAACAGGACATTACCAGGACAGGCTGATGACTACACACCTGGCCATCCTCAACAGCCTTCCTGCCCATCAGGGATCCCCCTGCCCGTTTTTTGGCAGTGTTGGCTATCAAACCAGAACCTCTCCCGCTAGGCAAATGCCCCCACGGAATCACACCCTAGTCCTCAGAAACCCTTTTAAATTCTGAGAAGCCTCACTCTTTCCTAGGCAGTAGCAAGGTGAAGAATCTGGGAGCAATCTAAGCAGCATCCCTACCCTGTCTCCACTGACGTGTGCCCTCCTTCCCCAGGGAGGTGTGAACCAACGTCTACCCGTCCTCACAGGGCACCAGCAAAACGAAGTACTGCGCACCCATGTCTAACCTGGGGAACTGATATGTTTACTAGGCAGCTACAGAGCACGGGTAACCCTAAAGCAGCCGCAGGACTGGTGGAGTCTCACCCCAGCTCGGATGATAGCTTCCCCACGATTGCACTGAGTTCCTCCTCCTGGCAACCTTCTAGTCTACATTCTCCATCGCCCCTGACGTCCCTAGGCCAAGTGCAATTAAGGCACAATGACATTACAGTCACATGGGTGACTGAGATCAGGTGAGGGTCTAGCGGCCCTCTGATGAGGGGCAGTCAACAGGGCTGATTGTGAGGGTCTCTCGAGTAGCTACAGCTGCTGTTTGCACTATATTACGTCTGAAGACAGAGCTGGGGCAGGCGTGATGGCCAAGACATCAGCAATAGTCACAGCACAGGCAGAGAGGGCCCCAGGGCCTCTGGGCGAAGCCAGGCAGATGAGCTTGGGACCTGTTTCCCAACCCTTTGTCTGCTCAGATACCAGGCAAGCAAATCCAGCCTTTAGCAGATGAAAAGAATCATCAACCCAGGAGGAAGACCGTTAAGGCCCTTCCAGGGATGGGTGTGGCTGAGGACAGTACTGGGATCTTTCAGAACACATCTGGCTCTGGGAATTTTCATCTGGCTCTGTGGCTGGTCTGTCTTCCTCTTTGCATGCTTTGGACGCTAAATCATGAGACTCTAAACGCAAGGGCAGGATCCTGTCCACATTGTTCGTGCAGTCTACATGCCAAGAATGCTGGCTGAGTGGGCACTGGGGTTCTCTGTAGTCACCTCTGTAGTCACCTCAGAGCAAGGTGCAAATCTGAGCTTTTTTTTTTTTTTTTGGTTTATGGAGACAGGGTTTCACTGTATTGTTTTTGAGCCTGTCCTGGAACTCGCTCTGAAGACAGATTGGCCTTGAACTCACAGAGACCTGCCTGCCTCTGCCCCCTGATTGCTGGGTCCAAAGGTGTGTGCCACCACAGCCAGCTTGAGCTCATCTTTACAGGCTCATTTAATCAGTAAGCATTTACTGTTTAAGAGCCAGACTTTGCTCTCAGAGCTGAAAATACAGAAACAAAAAGGCCCATCAATATAGTTCAGGGCAGAGTGCTTGCCTGGCATGTACAGGCACCGAGTTTGATCCCTAGCACAGCACACAGCAAAAGGAATAATAGTAAAATTAAATAAAAACATAAGCAAGACTTCCGGATGAGGTGATATGTGCCTTTAATCCCAGATGTGGGAGGAAGCAGCTGGGCGATCTCTGTGATTTCCAAGCTAGCCAGGGTGAGGGGAGAGGGATTGGGGCTGATTCAGAAGCTGAGGCAGGAGGATTGTGAGTTTCAGATCAGAGAGGGCATCGGGGCTCAAGCCTTTTATTCCTGCACCCAGGAATCTGAGCAAACAGATCTCTGTGAGCTTTCAGCCAGCGTAGGAATAAAGATCGAGAGAGGATCTGAACAGTGTACCAGTTCCCCGTAGGAGCTGGGAAACGCTCTCTATTCTGTGCGGAGGGAAGTGGTTCAGTGCTGCGGAGTCGGTCCTCAGCCCCTGCCTGGCTGCCCGGGAATCCACTCTGGCATGGCCTGTAATTTCTGGTCCTCTAGCTTCTGCTTGCTGTGGCCCAAATGCACATTTCTCCTTTGCAAAGCTGGGGTAGGAATAACTACCTCTCGGGGTGGTTACTCTTGTCGTTTGCCTTAGTGACAGTGTTGAAAAGTGCATTAAAGGCCAAAGTGGAATGGGAAGCAGGGACTACGTGTGGTTTTTATTACCTTTTTATTTCTTATGGCTATTATTATTATTATTATTTTGATGGGGTGCTGTCAGAGGATAACTTCCAGGGGTTGGGTTGGCAGGGTTGGTAGCAAGCACCTTTATCGATAATCCATCGTACCACACATCGTAAAACAGGGTCTTACTATTAACCCTGGCTAGCCTGGAAATCACCCCCCCCCCAGTCTCCTTTTGGTTGGCCTCGAACTCGATTCGTCGCCGCTGATGACCTTAAACTTGCTTCTGCCTCCACCCACAGCGCTGCGATCACGGTCGTTCGCCGCCAGGCCCGGTTTGTGCGGCGCTGGGACTCGAACCACAGCTTCGCGCGTGCTGAGCAAGCACTCTGGCAGTAAGGCCCCTGCGCTGCCGCCCTCAGCCCTGGGAAAGTGGGGGCTCAGGAGCGGGAAGAAGCCTCTGGGCTCCGAGGCGCTAGCACCCAGCGCACCCAGCGCACCCAGCGCACCCAGCGCACCCAGCGCACCCAGCCCCGCGCCCGGCAGCCGAGCGACGCCACACGCGGCCTGGGCCTTTCCTCTCCCAGTCTCCCCGCCCTGCCTTTGCTGGGACCCCGCTGACTTCCTACCTGCCGGTGAGAGAACTGCTGCTGCTCCTCAGCCTTTTCCTCCTCCATCACCGCCGAGCGCCCCGGGCAGGCGAGCCGAAGTAGAGTCAGATTTTCCCGCTCCACGTCCGCGACGGGCCGCGCAGAGGGTCAAAGCGCGAAGAGCCTCCTCCCCGGTCCGCGCGCGCCCCCTGGCGTCAGCTTGCGGAAGGGTCTTGCTGGCGCTGGTGTGACCCCTGCATCCGGTGCAGCCCTTCTTTATGGGCTGTAAGAAGGAGCATGAGATAGCCCAGTGGTTAGCAGCACCGAGACTCCAGCGCCCGCATCAAGCGGCTCACAAAGCCTGCAATTCCCCAAGAGGTGGGCTCCATGGGCACGTGCGTGCACATGCACACACACGTGCACCTACATAAACAATACAAAAGTTAAAAAGAGCAGAGCCATGGCCACGCATGCCTTCAATCCCAGCACTTGGGAGGCAGAGGAAGGCGGAACTCCCTGAGTTCGAGACCAGCCTGGTCTACAGAGAGAGTTCCAGGACAGCTAGGGCCACACACAGAGAAACCCTGTTTCGAACCCCGCCCCCCCCCCACCGCAAATTAAAAAGATAATGCATGTGCTGGGTATGGTGCTGCACCTCTCTAATCCCAGCATGCAGATCTCTGTGAGTTCAAGACCAGCCTGGGATACATAGTGAGGCCCTGTCTCAAACTAAAACAAACAAACAAACAAATAAAAAAACAATGTGATAGAATATTATTTTTAGGTGTGCTGCTTTTGTTTATGCTGTGGAACTTGTTGGGAAATTTAAGTACTTGTCCCTTACAGCTCTTTTTCTCCCCACCCAGATGTAGAACTTCGGTGCAAACAAGGTTGAACAAACAAGGTTGTTTTCAAAACTTTCCGGTGCACAGTGTGGTGCCTTGACCCCAGGTGTGGGTGGTGCATGACTTCCTCCTAGCTTAGCCCGTCCCCTGGCTTGGGTATAGAAGCCCATTACTCTCTGTAATAAACAGCGGTGGCGGCGGCTTCTTCACTTGTCGTGGTCTGTTAAGTGTTTCAATCCCAACACCCTCCGCCAAGCTCGGTACTGTGGCTGTGCGGGCGTGCCGGCAGAACTTAAGATGTAAAGACGTGTTGCTTTTGTTTATGCTGTACTTGTTTAGCTTTGTGAAGCTGTGATTCTTTGCCTATCTAAAACGCCTGTTTGATCTCATAAAGAGCTGAACAGCGATGCCGTGGCAGGAGAAAGGCTAGGCAGGTCTGGCAGGCAGAGAGAATAAATAGGAGAAATCTGGGAGGGAGGGAAAAAGGAACGATAGAGGGAGGAGGGCTTCCGGGCGCCATCCAGCTTCACAGCCAGACCTGGACTCAGAAGGAAGGGAACGATACACAGAAGTAAGAAAAGGAAAAATCCCAGAGGTAGTTGGGTAAATTTAAGTTAAGAAAAGCTGGCAAGAAACAACCAAGCTAAGGCCAGGCATTTCTGAGAAAGAAAAAGCCTCCGTGTGTGTGATTTATTTGGGAGCTGGGTGGTGGACTCCTAAAAGAGCAATAACATCCAACAGCACCACAATTAACCGATAATAAGATATTGGGCCAGCAAGGTGCTCGGTGGGTCAAAGCACTTGCCCCTGGGAGCCTGGTGACTGAAGTTCGATCCCCAGAGCCCACAGAAAAGGACAACTGACTCCAAAAAGTTGTCCTGTAACCTCCACTCTGTGGTCACACTCACTGACACACACCATACACACAAGAGCTGACTAATGTAAACTAGTAAATGCAGTGCTTTCCGTGGTGGGCCCTGCACACATGCGGCCTCGGGGTGCTGGGCCGAGAGCCGTGGGGTTCCCCCACCAATCGCAAAGCAGAGGAGACTATTGCCCAGCTGCTATCCATTCAGAGGGAGAGGCTCATATGGCCTGGAGCAAGCCAGTGAGCAAGTCTCCCTTATATAAAGAGAAGGCTCAGCAATTGATGACACTTGCTGCTCTTTACAGCATCCATTTGGTGGTTCACATCTGTGATTACTGTTTCAGGGGATTCAGCGCCCTCTTCTGGCTTCTACGGGCACCAGACACACACACACACACACACACACACACACACACACAGTATACAAACATGCATGCAGGCAAAGCACACATACACATAAAATAAAAATAATCCAGCCAGTGGGCTTCAAGGGATCAGCGCTGGGTGTGAGGAAGATGAGGTTTTCAGACCTTAGGGCAGGCCGTTTCCAAAAGGAGGAGTTGGCAGACAAAATAGGCGGGTTTACAGGAGCAGAACGCAGGCCTAACAAGCCAGTCATGATGTCCCCCTGAAACGAAAGCATGGTCCCAAGGTGGCCATAACAAGGTAGTCAAAACAACCATTTGAGGGCTGGAGAGATGGCTCAGAGGTTAAAAGCACTGGCTTTTCTTCTAAAGGTCCTGAGTTCAATTCCCAGCAACTGCATGGTGGCTCACAACCATCTGTGATGAGAATGGGTGTCCTCTTCCGGCCTGCAGGCAGAATACTGTATGCATAATTAATAAATAAATCTTAAAAAAAAAACAAAACTTTTGAAACAAAGGTAGGGTTGCAAGATGGTCATAACAACTTTTTGAAGCAAAGATATGGTTGACAAGTCACAGGTGGAGTGGAGCATAGCCCAGGCCTGGAGAAACAGTTTTAATCATAAACCTAGTTTGTCTTTAATACAAGACAGCTTTCAAGCCTAAGATGGAGGCCGGTTCATCAGCTGCAGCGGGGAACGTTGGGAAAGAGCAGGGAACCCTGAAGCACCAGCAGGCCAGCACCAGAAAGAAAAAGGCAGAAGAGGGGACAGTTCCGAGTGAGGACTCAGGGGACCGACCACAGGCATGGCACTATGGGACAGGAATCCTGGACAGGAAAAGCACACAATCTTTTCCTGGGGTGTCCCACTGGGTTAAGCCTGAGGGAGGAGAGAAGGGTTTGTCTCCACCTAGAGGAAGATTCGTTCTTTACAACAGTAAGACCACACACCCTTGAGTTTTTGTTACTCTCTTTAGGGCTCTGAAGGTTTTAATCAGCCTAATCTCCCCAATCTCCACAGCGGCTTCTCCCTGTGTGCTTGCCAGGATGGCGGTGAACACGTTAGGTTGAGGTAGGAGGATGGTGAGCTCAAGGCCAATTTGGGCTGCTGAGCAAAACTGTCTCAGAGAGGACAGGGTGTGGTGGCCGACACCTTTAATCCCAGCACTCGGGAGGCAGAGGCAGCCCAGCCTGGTCTACAGAGCGAGTTCCGGGACAGCTTGAAAATAAAGAAAGAAAGGAAGAGAAGGAAGTAAGGGAAGGAGGGAGGAAAGGAAGGAAAGGAGGGAGAGAGGGAGGAAGAAAGAAATCGAAACACTTCTCACTCAGTCCCCACTATTGGCCTCCCACGTGGCATCTCGTATTGAAGCAGTCAGTTCCCAGGGTTAATGAGCATCATTGTGGTGGCCTGTGGCGTTTGAGGATCTAAGGGCAGGCTAGATCTGTGGCAGCAGGGTGGCGGTGTACTGTGAAACTACTCTCAACTGATGGTGCAGAAGCCTCATCGGCCACTAGATGGCACCATTGCTCCACTGTGATTAAGGTCAGGGCTGCCTGGCTGTAATACCATAGCTACAACGTCACCCACCCTGGGGTGAGCCCCGATTCACAGGTAGCAATAGTTACCATCACAGAAGAGTTCTTCGTGGGATTAAACTGCTTGGAAGTGGTAGAGGCCAGATTTGATCCAGCACTTGTGCCCTCCGCTCACTTCCCATCGTCCTCAGCACAAGTAAGACATGCATTAACCAGGACACCACAAGTAAATCAGTTCAGGGGCTCTTTCATTGGTTTCCCTTAAACTGAACTGCAAAATACAGCTTGGAAAGCTGTCTCCAGCAATACTAACACCTCAGGGGTTCTGGCACACAGTAGGTGCGCAGTTAATGTGGCAAAGGCTGAGAGAAGGCGTCTGGTCTGTACATAAGGGGAGGTAAGACAGTCTCACTGGTGAGGGCTCAAGTTCCTGCTCGATTGGTTGAACAGCTTAACCATCTGGCAGTTTGAGAGGGTAACACTGCTGAGTCCACAGAGAGAGTCGAGGAGTAAGACGTCTGTTAACTTGTGGAACATTAAGGCTTGACACACTCTGACTTAGGTATGGGCCCTTTATAGGCCCTCAGGAAACCCCAAGCCAGGTACAGATTTCCTATCCCTGCCACATAGAGAAATTTCCTCTCTAGAAGAGGTGTGCGTGGCAGGTGGTATTTTCTGAAGCTTGCAGGATGGATGCTCGTGACAGGCAGTTCTGGTCCTGAGAGGATCTGGTTATTACCTCCCTCTCTCCCTCTGTGCTTCTCGAGACCTGAGTCTGGTTGTAAAGTCAGGATGATCTTAAACTCTTAATTCATTTTTAAAGATTTATTTACTTTTATGTGTATGGGTGTTTTGCCTGCATGCATGTCCGTGTTCTGTGTGTCTGGTGCCCTTCAAGTTTAGAATAGGGCATCAGACCCTCTGTGCTTCACACATTCCTCTTATTGTTATATTTAATTTTTAAGATTTATTTATTATGTATAGTGTTCTGCCTGCATGTATGCCTGCAGGCCAGAAGAGGGCGCCAGATCTCATTACAGATGGTTGTGAGCCACCATGTGGTTGCTGGGAAGTGAACTCAGGACCTCTGGAAGTACTACTATCTCTCCAGCCCCACCCCACCCCCATATCTTTTTTTTTTTTTTAAATACTTTAACTTTTTATTTTATGTGCATTGGTGTAAGGATACCAGATTCCCTGGAACTGAAGTTACAGACAGTTGTGAGCTGCCATGTGGGTGCTGGAAATAGAACCTGGGTCCTCTGGAAGAGCAGCCGGTGCTCTTAACCACTGAGGCATCTCTCCAGCCCACCCCCCTCCCCCCCCACACACATCACACACATGTATCTTTTAATTCCAGCATTTGGGAGGCAGAGACTGGCAGATTTCTGCAAGTTCAAGGCCTGCTTGGTTTATATAGAGTTTCAGATAAGCCAGGAGCTACATAGTAAAACATTGTTTTTTTAAGACAAAGCCCTAGGAAAGGTCCAGCAAAGCTATAGGAGGATAACGCCTGGTCTGTAAATGTGATTTAAAAACAGAACGCCCTGGAGGTCACCTACCTCTGTTGTTTCACTAAACATGTTGGCAGCTGTCTTGTAAGGGTTTATGTGTGCGCCCATAAGGTGCCTTGGCCAGGGAAGCTGCTTCTGCGTGGGCCGCAGTTAATGCGGACTCCTAACAAAGCACTTCTGTAAATCCGGCACGGGCCACACGTCTGTAACCCCAACTCTCACAAGGGAAGGCAGGAAACACTCAAAGCCATCCTCAGCTACAGAGTGAGATTGAGGCCAGCCTGGAACACAGGAAGGAGGACTGTCACACAGATAACAAAACAGCTTCCAGCTCAGCCTGTTAGTACACGCTCGTCATCCCAGCAAGGGCGCAGTTGAGGCAGAAGGGTCCAGAGTTCTAAGCTAGCCTGCGCCACATAGAAAGACCTGGAAAAAAAAATCCCAATGAATAAATAACAAAACCCTTGCCTCTTCCTCTCCCTTCCCCTCCCTCTCCCCTCTGGCTTGTTTTGCAGGTAGCTTTGTGCAGGGGTGCGTGGAGGGAGGCAAGGGATCTGAGACAGGGTCTTGGTGTGCATAGGCTGCCCTTAAATTCTCCATCCTCCAGCTCCCAAGTGCGAGAGTTGGATGCATCACCACGCCCAGCCCACTATGGCACAAATGTAGGGGTCAAAGGTCAACTTCCAGAGACTGAACTCAGATGGTCAGGCTTGCTTGGCCCTTCCCTTCTGAGCCACCCTGTGCTGCTCCCTTCAGTGGTGCTGGGCTGGGCTTGAGCACAGGGCTTCACTCATGCTAAGCAAGTGTTGTAACCATGGCTAGTAAGAGATGGGGGAGGGATTAGAACCCTCACATAAAGCAAAGATCACCATACAGCAGGCATGTGCTTGAAATCTCAGACTGGGGAGGGAGGCAGAGGCAAGGTGAATCCCTGGGGCTCACTGGCCAGTCAGCCTAGCTGAACTGGGTGAGCCTTGGGTCACATCCAAAGAGCTCCTGTCAAAACAATGGACCCCCACATGCATGAGCACACTGCAGGATGCTGGGTGCCTGAGGATGCCGGCAGGACAGCTCTGTCTCTGAACCACATGGCCTTGATGAGATTGTACATTAGTCCCCTGGCAGTTTGGCCCCTTGGTCCCTTTTGCATGGGCTTGTGTTCACATGCATGCATGCCCACAAGCAAGGACGGCAGCGGAGAGCTCCTTGGAAATGCAGAGGGAGAGCCCCACCCCAACCAGCACGTTTTGACTCTCTCCAGGGGGACATAGTGCTGGTGGAATAGTATGAAATGCTCCAATCAGTCCTTCATTAGGACACTTAACTATGTCCTACTTACAGGCAGGACGCTGGCCAGAGGCCTCTGAACACCTGTACCCACCACCAATACAGGGCAGGCCACATCCCACATGGCGGCCGCTGCTCACGCAGGAGGGTTAGGGACCCCACCCTACAGCTTCTTGGAGGGTGAACGGGGAAGGGCTGGAGTTGAGCTCCTGCCCCTCGGTCCTTTGCTTTCATTGTCCAGCGTCTGCATTGTTTCTCCTTAGAATCCACCCTATTCCCCAAGCATCCATCTGCCTCTCATGGTCCGGAGTCTGTGTGTGGGGCTGGAGGGCCAGGTGGGCCTGGCCCTCAGATCTAGGGACAGTAGGTGCAGGATATGAGCTGGAGGCCGTCACCTCCACAAGCTAGACGTAAGGAGGGTTTGATGAAAAGCTGCGGTCCCAGTCAGCTCCCGAGACTGAAGCCCGAGACAGATGAGTGGCGCCAGCTGTCCAAACAGGCGTTGTTTGCGCTGCTCATGGGCCCCTCTCGGACCAACTCTAACTCTGTCCAGAAAAATCATCATGGAGCAGAATTCACTGCTGGCCTAACTCAGTCCGGTGGCCTGAGGCAGGCAACTCTCAATTGGAAAGCCTGGTTCAGGAACAGACAGACCGAGGGCACTGAAATTCCACTGCAGACCAGGGTGGGACCTTGATTTGATACAGGAGAGAACACGCTGAGGACCAAGGCAGTCTAAAAAGTTTATTCCAAGTGTGTGACCGGGGAATGTGACATGAACACCCAGGTAAGGAAAGACAACTCAAGGGGCCTGCCCACCTCCCTCCAAACTTAATCATAACCCTCAACTGAATGTGTCTGTGTTATTTGGAGTCTTTAAAGAAAAAAAAAAAAAAAAAAGCCAGAGTCCAAATGAGTAAGGCTAAGGGAAAACAGATCAATTCCCACATAGAGAACTTGGTGCAGACCCTTCTGCCAATGGGGAGGCAGTTGGGACGTCCGGGCACGCCCAGAAACCAGTGTAGAGGGTTACTACATAAGCTTTTACTGAGTGGAGGACAGCAGAGCCCGCACGCACGATCCACGCTCCAGGTTGTACAATCCCACACAGCCATCCCTCTGTGTGCCAAGAGCTGCAGGCTGTGTGACCCACATGGCACAGCTCGGTCAGGGAGCGGTCACGCAGTCGTGCACAGAGTAAGTCCCTGGGCATGGTGGTTCAGAGGGAGCGGACAACAGAGCTCGGTGACTTCCTCAGCGATCACAGCCAACAGCTGGCTAAAAGATCTGAGCAGGAACTAGGGCAAAGAGGAATGCTGTCCCACAGGGGCTGTCCTGCTGCCGGGAGGGAGGGCGAAGTCACAGTCCTACTACGCGTTGTATGAAGACGATGACACGCTGCCACCGTGGCCTGTCCAGTTGGTATGGATAAACTCTCCTGGTTTGGCTAAGAGCTCATAGGTGTGAGCCCCAAAGTAATCCCGCTGAGCCTAGGAAAGGAAGGGTTGGCTGGTTAGGGTGGAGAGCGGGCACACGGCCCTCGGGGAGCAGCCGAGTTCAAGGAGCCACCTGCTCCCAAGCTTACCTGGATGAGGTTGGCTGGCAGCACCTCGTGTCTGTACCCATCGTAGAAGGAGAGGGCGGTAGTGAAGCAGGGCATGGGAATGCCTGCTTGCACCCCAGTGCTGACCACCCGCCGCCAGGAGTCCTGAGCACAGAGGGGAGAAGGTCAGAGGCTGGGTCTTCCCAGAGACACCGAGTCTGCAGGACATAGACACAGGGAGGCGGCGCCACCCACTGCCAGCTACTGTACGTACCTGGCAGTTGTCAACTGCTGACTTAAAGAAGTCATCCAGCAGCAGGTTCTGAAGTTCTGGGTTTCGCTCAAACGCATCTTTAATTTTCCCCAGGAACACACTGAAACAGTTTGCAAGAAAGCAATCTTAAGAGAGCGGCATGCTCTAGGTCTGGAAATGATACGTCACGGCACATTCTACAGAGTCACAGTTCTCCCCAGCAGAGCTGGCAGAGTAACATTCACAGGGACAGAGGAGCCATGGGGTGACTCAGCAGGCAAAGGTGTTTGCCACCAAGTCTGACCAGATGAGTCCATTCCTGGCCCCACACAGTGGAAAGGAAATGAATCCCACAAACGGTCTTCTGTGTTGGGAGGAGGAGTGGAGACAGAGAGAGACAGAAGGAGAGACAGAGTGTGCTTTGCTTGCAAGTCTGTGCACCAACTGCATACCATGCCAGGAAGGCCAGAAGAGGGCGCTGTATTCTTGGCACTGGAGTCAGAGGGTTGTGAGCCACCTTGTGGGAGCTGGAATTGAACCTGGGTCCTCTGTAAGAGCTCTTAACTGCCATAAGAATTATTTTTTAAAATTTTCTTTTTAAAGTACAGAGTGAGGTGGACACAGAAAAACCAGCAGCTCAAGGTCAGCCTGGGCAATGTGAGCCCCACCCCCATCAAAAAAAAAAAAAAAAAAAAACGAAGCGGGCGGGCCCCAGGAGACAAGCCCAGGGCCAGGACACTTCTCACAGACCTACTTGCAGGGTGTGGTGTAGACAATCCAGCTGGAGAAACCGGGTGTCCCTCAAGCGTGGAAAGGGGACAGGTTCAGTCAAAACTCGCGGGTGCTCAAGCCCCTCATAGAACAGCCTAGTATTTAATGGGCCAGTGACAGGGCTCAGTGGACCCCAGGTGCCACAGGGTAGAAGGGAAGGATTGAAGGGAGTGTAGGCATGGAAAGGGCAGCATAGTAAGGATGTTAGGGTGGCACGACTCTCGAGGACCCCTGCTAATGGCCGATCAGTGGTGTTTCCAGGTTTGGAACAGAAAGAAGCAGAAGACGCTCAACAGATGGAAGAAAGGCCACATTGGATCACAGCAAGATGGAATCTCAGCTCGTGAACCAATTTTCAGATCAGAACCCCTTGAATGAAGGAACAGGCAGGTCCCCTGAGGAAGGACGATTTTTACTGTTAGCCTTCCTCAGAGGGACCTACAGCCTTTTCCAGGCTGGCAGGTGGGGGAGAATGAGACTTGGAACAGGCCACTGAACACTGGTTCTGAACCGACATTAATTCTGGGAGATCCCTGCAGTGAAAGTAGGGGCTTGTCGTGGAGGTCAGGGATGAATGGAGTTATGGCTGAAGTCAGACTCACAGTAAGTCCAGGGGGTCCCTGAACTCATCCTATGAATTTCTCCAGTCCCAGAATGTAAAAACAGGATAGATATACTTAGGAGTTGGCAGAATTCCCACAAGTTTTGCTGGACCCCACATGTACCTGGCACATATAGCGTCTCCCAAAGAAATAAATGAACAGTGTTTTAGTTACCTACACAAACCCTGTGTGTTCTACATCACTGAGGTAAATGTTAAACAGAGCTGGTTCACTGTACATTAAGAAAACAGTCTCTAAGTGTTCAGAACCTTATTTGGTGCTGGTAGTAGAGTCCAGGGCCTAGCAAGTGTTCTACACTTTTGTTTATTTATTTTTTTGAGACAGGGTTTTTTATACATAGCTCAGGCTAGTCTTGAATTCAGAGAGATGCACCTGCCTCTGCCACTGGAGTGCTCAATTAAAGGCGTGCGCCGCCATACCAGGCCCCGATTTTTCTTTTTGCTTTCTTTCTCTGTGTTTTCGAGATAGGACTTCTCTGTGTAGCCCTGGCTGTTCTGGAGCTTGCTCTGTAGACCACGCTGACCTGGAACTCAGATCTGCCTGCTTTGTTGGGCTAGGATTAAAGATGTGTGCCACGCCCCTCCCTACACACTATTTTTTCCTAAATGCTTTTGAACTACGATTGTTTTAAGATGTGGACACCTATACTGATAAAAATGAACTGTGACGATGCAACCCACACGTTGCCAGTGTCAGTAACAGGATGGCTATTCCCAGTTGCAGGGAAACGCAAGCATTGTCTGGGCCCTGCTCCTGCCGCCCTGAGTTCAGCTGTCACTTACCTCCTGATGATGCAGCCCCCTCTCCACATGAGGGCGATGCCACCATAATTGAGAGTCCAGCCAAACTCAGTGGCTGCCTGTCTGAGCAGCATAAACCCTTGAGCGTAGGAGATGATCTTGGAAGCGTAGAGGGCCTGGAAAGCAACAGCAGACTTTAGAGCTGTGGTTAGTGGAGCAGCCACACTCCCAGCCCCGTTCTCACTCCTGAGGAGACCCCAGATAGTGACAGTACCAGGAAAGGCTAGAAATGATGACATGGTGGAGGGCTGGGGACTGCCCACCTTTCGAATGTCCTCCAGGAATGACTCCTTACTGCCCGCCAGCTGGGCCTTCTGAGGGCCCTTCAGCTTTTTGCTGGCTTGAACTCGCTCCTCCTTCAGAGAGGACAAGCACCGAGCGAAGACAGCTTCTCCTACATAGGAAAGACAGAGTCATCAGAGGTAACACCCGAAACCAAAGGATATGCACAGCCAGGTCAGGAGACGGATCCAACATGTACCAAGAGGGCCAGTCAGGAATCCCTAAGAGCCAGGAGCTGGTGGCACATGCCTTTAGGACTTTGGTCCCAGTACTCAGGAGGCAGAGGCAGGCAGATCTCTGTGAGTTTGAGGCCAGCCTATTATTCTACAGAGCGAGTTCCAGGTCAGGCTCAAGAGCAATACAGAGAAACCCTATCTTGAAAAACAAACTAATAAACAAACAGAAATCCCCAAGACCAACACCTGAAACCTGGGTGTGGAAAGGGGTGTGGACAGGCACAGCAGAGGTAAGAGAGATCCAACCTGGGAGCTTTGACCTTAGCTCCCAAATTTAACCTGGGTTAAGAGCTCTGAACAGCTGATTCCAGAACTAAAACTCCAAGTTCGCCTCCCAACATCAAATGCATTCAAACACAAACATCAACCCAAAATTCCCAGGGAAGTTTTGAGGTGAAATAGAGGCAAGGCACAACTACACATAATTACTCTATATTAACCCAACAGTAAGACTTCAGTTTTTGTTTAGAAGAAATAAATTTTGTTGTGATGGAATTTCATGAAGTACAAGCTCCCTCACACTGCATGACAGAGGATGGCCTTGATGACCTGGTCCTCCTCCTCTGCCTCCTAGGTGCTGGGATCAAAGGCGTGCACCACCACTGCCTGGAGACTGTGCACCCCAAAGGTTCACGACCGGGTGGTGGTGCACACCTTTAATCCCAGCACCTAGGAGGCAGAGACAGGATTTATGAGTTCAGGGCTAGCCTGGTCTACAGAATGAGTTCCAGGACAGCCAGGACTGTTACTCAGTGAAATCCTGTCTTGAACTGCTCCCCCACCCATGCTATAAGAGTTTGTTTATTATGTTTATGTTTATTTGAAACAGGGTCTCTCTTCTTAGTCCTGGATCTCAATATGTAGAACATGTTGGCCTTGAATTCACTACCACTATGTCCCCCTTTAAAAAAAAGATCTTTAATTTATTATTTCTATGTGTATGGGTGTTCTGCCCTCATGTGTCTATGCACCACTGGAGTGCAGTTCCCTCAGAGGCCAGAGGGGGGCACCAGATGCTTTGGAACTGGAGTTACAGACCATCACTGACAACATGCTGGGAACTAAACCAGATCCTCTGCAAGAACGAGTGCTCTTGGCAGCTAGGCTGTCTCACTTGGCCCCCGGGCTTAGTGCTTTGATTTTAGTAAGATTTATTTTTAAATTGTGTGTGTGTGTGTATGTGTGTGTGTGTGTGTATGTATGTGTGAGAGTGTGTATGGTGTGGTGTGGTATGTGTATGTGTGTGTGAGAGTGTGTATGGTGTGAGTGTGTGTGTATGTGTGCACATGCAAGTGCCCTCAGAGCCAGAAATCAGATGTCCTTGGCCGTGGAGCACTGGGGTTTCTGGGGGCTGTGATGAAGCGGATGTGCTTGCTGGGAAGCCAATCACTGGAAGGGAGGACACGCTCTCCACCCCCAAGGCTGTTCTTAATACCCATAACCACTGGCTTCACAATGTCCTTCAGTACACAGGGCACATTAAGACCTTTGTGGCAGGCCACTTGCTCAATTTATTTAAGATGAATGAATCTTCTTTTCCTCCAAACAAAATGGGTCGAATATCTGGGACTAACAACATGGCACTTCAGTTTTGGGGAAAGGGTACCAGCCACAACTTGAGAACAAGGTGAAAAAAAAAATGTCTTCTTGTCCTTACCCAACCCCTTTCCTTCCCTGCAGCATGACTTGACAATTGTGCAACAGCAAGTGTGGCAAACCTCCTGGTCATACAGTGGCTGGACAGGGAGGGTCCTCTTACTCATTAGGGAGAAGCACATCTGTGCAGCTCGGTGGGAGGATCCCCCGTCTCTACAGCTACAGCTCAAGGCTACGTTTCATGCAGCCTTGTCAGTGGTGGATAAATGCTCCCTGCACACAGCACGACTGGGTTTGGCCAAAATGCAGCCAACTTCCTCCTTGTGCGGGACTCACACACACAAACCCGTGCCCTGCCCTGCCCCAAGTATCTAACACAGGCTGAGGCATGACTAATCAGGACATAAAGGAGGGGCAGGCACCATATTGGGAAAAGCAATCTGGAAAACGCCCGAGCTATCACAGAAGAGCCATTCCACCAGGAGCAAAGGCTCTCTTTTTCCAATCGTGGCACAGGGGCATTGTATCGCTTAAGAAAAAAGACAGGGTTGGCAAAGTGCTTGTCATACAAAGTCCCCAACACCTGTGTAAAATAACACACATAACTATGACCATAGCCCAGGATGTCAGAGACCAGTGGTTCCCATAGCTAGCTGGCTAACTATTCTAGCCAATCAGGGAGGTGCAGGTTCAACAGAGAGACTCTGTCTCAAAAATAAGTAAATAGAGTAATTGAGGAAGACAGCTGATGCTGACCTCTGGCTTCCACATCTATATGTGTGGGACTGTCCACCCGCATACACAGGCAGGAACACATATGCACAACACATATACATATATCCAAGGTGATCTTAAGTTTCTAGGCTCAAGTGATTTTTCTGTCATAGCTTCCTAGGTAACTACAGCTACAGGAGCAGACTTTGCCTGTGTCTGGCTTTTATTTTATTCTTTTTTATTATATTAATTGCATTATATCTCTCCTTCTCTGTGTGTGTAGACATGTGAATGCTATGACATCCATATGGAGGTCAGAAAGAAGACAAGTTGCAGGAGTGGGCTATTTCCTTCTACCATATAGGTCTCAGGTTTTGAACTCAGGTCAGCAGGCTTGGTGGCAAGAGCCTTTAATCTGCTGAGCTACCTTACCAGCTCCCAGCTCCTTTTATTTTATCCCCTTTTTGTTTGTTTGTTTGTATTTCAAGACAGGGTTTCTCTGTGTAGATCTGGCTGTCCTGTGTAGATCCTGTAGACCAGGCTGGCCTCGAACTCACAGACATCCACCTGTGAGATTAAAGGTGTGTACCATCACCTCCAGGCTTTTAATTTTATTCTTAGAACCAGTTTTTGCACTCAGGAGGCAGAGACCATGCAGATCTCCATGAGTTCCAGGCTAGCTAGGGCTTCAGGGACATACTGACACAGTGAGACTCTGTCTCAAAACAACAAACCAACCCACAGCCAGGGTTTTGTTTCTTATTCTCTTGTTCTCTGGGTTTGGTTTTTTGCAGTGCCAGGAACAAGCCCAGAGCTGGGCAAGCACTCTACCAACTGAGCCACACCCCAGCCTTCTACCTCTGAGTCGGATTCAGAGTCCATTAATACATGGACAGTGGGTTTCTTCTAAGGAGAAGAAACATAGGTTATGCCATATTTTTCCAGTATCTGTGGGCAGAACCCGTAAAATATTAATAAAGGTTGACTACATAAACAAAATGTGTTAGTCTGTGAACTTTTGTTATTGAACCCATTACAGAAATCTTAGTAAAACAACAGACAAGCCAAAAAAGCCAGGCATGCGTGGCACTCAGGAGGCGAAGGCAAGAAGATGTACATGACAGGCTAACCTGGGCTACTTAGCAAGACTGTCTCAAGAACCAACTGGACAAAGGTCTTAGGTTACTGACTAGGCTTGAGCCAAATGCTAAAATATCCCAAAGTTAAAACTGCACAGAAAGGGCAGTAGCTGCTGCAATTACCTCAGAGCCCACAAGAAGACAGGTGTCCCACGTGCAGAAAGAGGAAAGGCGCACTGACACCTGAGCAGGGCTGGAGACTGTCCCCAACACCTGTCTGGAGTAGAGTTCCAGGACTCCAGGGTCAGAGCAGTGGACCCAAAGGCACAGGTGAAAGGTGCAGCATTACCAATGAGGGTGACAGGCATGCCATACTCCAGCGCTGAGACGGCGGTCCACTTCCCGGTGCCCTTCTGTCCTGCGCTGTCCCGGATCTTTGGTAACAGCTCTTTGCCATCAGTGTCCCGGAACTTGAGGATATTAGCAGTGATTTCAATCAGGAAGGAGTCCAGCTCTGTCTTGTTCCATTCCTCAAACGTCTACACACAGAAGGAAAAGCAGGGTTGGTTCTGTGGGCATCCTGGCTCACCTGCTGTATCCCTGCCTCTGCAGCTGGTGCTCCCACTGCTGAGCCCATGGTGAGCTCCTCCTGGCAGCCTGTGGACTCCTGCTTCTGCCCACTGAGTCATGCTCGCCAAGTCAAGTAGTAGCTTTGTTGAGTGTCATCCTGGTGGTTTAATTTCTCACCAGTGAAACTGCCCTCTCTTTAGAGCCAAGCAAGAGTCTGTGCATGTTGTCACCTTGATTCCCTATTTCAGTCCAGCTCTTGGGACTTTGGTGTAACTCGGTGGTGGAGCACAAGCTTAGTAAGCACGAGGCCCTGAGTTCCATCCCATAACTCAAAAATAAAATTAGGAAATAAAATAAAACCTGTCTGTTGGGCTGGAGAGCTGGCTTAGTGGTTAAAAGCACTGGATGTTCCCAGCACCTACATGTCAGCTCGCAAATGTCTGTGACTCCAGTTTCAGGGGATCTGGCACACTCACACAGACACACATGTAAATAAAACAAAGCAAAACACCAGCGCACATAAATCTAAACAAAGCAAAGTCCTGCCTGTTATTCCCAGCTTGCTTTGGTCTATAATGATGATTCATTTTAGACTCTACAGTCACTATCACTGTTTGTCTTCAAGCTCCCGAGGCAAAGACTCTCACTGTTAGAGGCTTTCACATGCAAGCACCTTTCACACGATAGGCTACACACGGCCTCTGAGCTATGCCCAGGCCTTCACTGTCTTACACTTAGAACAGTGTCTTGCATATAGTATAGCATTTACTTTTGTTGTAGGAATATATCAACAAATAAAAACACAAAAATAACAAAAACTAAGTTAAAAGTTAGAGTGAGACCAGCAGCTGCCAAGATGAGTGAGGGTGAGGAGCTGTGACACACACACACTCACACACAGACACAGACAGACACAGACTCACATACAGACACACTCTCTTACACACACTCACAGACACACTCACAGACACAGATTCACATACAGACACACACACACACACACACTCACAGACAGACACACTCACATACAGACACACTCTCACACACACTGACACACACACACTCACACACAGACACAGACTCACATACAGACACACTCTCACACACACTCACAGACACACACTGACACACACAGACACACTCAGACACACTCACAGACACAGACTCACATACAGACACACACACACTCACACACAGACAGACACACTCACATACAGACACACTCTCACACACACTCACAGACAGACTCACATACAGACACACACTCACACACACTGACACACACACACTCACACACACAGACACACATACAGACACACTCTCACACACACTGACACACACACACACAGACTCACATACAGACACACTCTCACACACACTCACAGACACACACTGACACACACAGACACACTCAGACACACTCACAGACAGACTCACATACAGACACACACACACTCACACACAGACAGACACACTCACATACAGACACACTCTCACACACACTGACACACACACTCACACACACTCACACACAGACACAGACTCACATACAGACACACACTCACACACACTGACACACACACACTCACACTCACACACAGACTCACATACAGACACACTCTCACCCACACACTCACAGACACACTCAGACACACTCACAGACACAGATTCACATACAGACACACACACACACTCACACACAGACAGACACAGACTCACATACAGACACTCTCACCCACACACTACAGACACTCTCACACACACACTGACACACACAAAGACACACTCACAGACACAGACTCACATACAGACACACTCTCACACACACTCACAGACACACACACTGACACACACAGACACACTCACACAGACTCACATACAGACACACACACACACACTCACAGACACACACACAGACACACTCTCACACACTCACACTCTAGACTCTCTGTATGGGGACCCCATGGTATTGGGAGCTTAAAGGGGTGGTCATATCACAGACACAGCTAAGGGTAGAGTGAGCAAAATACAGACATGCTTGCCTGCCTTCTTGCTCAGATCAGCTTTTCTGCTCTCACTCGGTTCAGGACCCCAGCCTAGAATGGCTGCTGCACTCACGAACTCAACTTGAGTTGTTACCTGTGTAAGACCCACAAAGCCAGCAAAATCAGCCAGCATTCCAGCAGGCACCAGTGGGTTACAATAAAGAGATATATACGCAACACACACACACACACACACACACACACACACACACACACACACACACAGGGAGAAGGGGGACATCATGCAGGTGAAGGGTATTGGAAGGGAAGTAGAATGGGAAGGCTGGGGTGGGTATGATCAAGGTACACTATATATGTGTATAAAATTGTCAAAGAACAAATAAAAGATTTTCTTTGTTTCTGATTTATTTATTTGCTGGGCAATGGTGACACATGCCTTTAAACCCAGCACTCAGGAGGCAGAAGCAGGTGGATCTCTGTGAATTCAAGGCCAGCCTGGTCTACAGAGCTAGTTCTAGGACAGCTAGGGCTGTTACACAAAGAAACACTGTCTTGAAAACGAAAAAAAGGTTTATTTATTTATTGTGTATATAGTGAATTGTCTGCTTTTATCCCTGCATCCCTGCAGGCCGGAAGAGGGCACCAAAAAGTTCTTAAAAATGAATGGTAAAACATGCTTTGCCACCAGGCAGTGGTATCGCACACCTTTAATCCAAGCACTGGGGATGCAGTGGGGATCTCAGTGAGTTCCAGGACAGCCAGACTGTTACACAGAGGAACCCTGTCTCAGAAAAACAAACAAAAAAAACATGCTTACCTATGTTTGTAATTAAATGTTTATCTAATGATACTGTATCTCCTACAGATCACTTTGGAATGTCTCCATGGAGGATGAACCAGTATGGGGATGGACAATACGTGGTGAAGCGCAGTGAAATGCTCTGCTGGGATCCAGGTAGTGTGCGTATCCATGCAGTGTTTGAGTAATTTCATAATGAAATGTTGGGAAAATGCTTGTGCTTCCCCACTGGGATGAACTTTGAGAAGATTTATTATTGTTTATAAGTATATTTCTTATATTATCTGGGTTTTTGCCTGTGTGTATTCATACGCGCCACCTGTATTCAAGGCCCTCAGAGGTTAGAGGAGCACATCACAGCCCCTAACGACAGTTATGCATGACTGTGAGCCTCCACATGGCTCTGGAAACAGAGCCCTACCGGTCTTCTGCAAGAAAGAGTACCAAGTGCTCTCAACTGCAGAGCCATCTTCCAGGCCCCGGGGATGAACTATTTTGAGTAAGTTCCAGAGCTCTAACCCCAACTTGATAACAGGCAGCTACTTAGCTCCCTTACAGAGCAAAGGTAGGAGGAAGAAAGAGAGTAATAAGGACCGGGATGGGCTCTGTGACAGGGTACTTACCTATCATGTGTAAGGCCAGGGCCTGAGTTCTGTGGGGAGGGACGTATACGAGGTGACACACAGAGTGTGACAAAGCATGGCTCACTAACTGCTGACAGTGATTACAGCTTCATGGGTGGCTATCACGCTTTATGATGCCATTACCATAGCTTCCCTTACATTAGGCTGAGTCCATGCGGGCAAACAGGAAGGAGGAAGTATTAATTGTCAGTAGCAATGGTTACCCAGGAGGAGACAGTGCCCGGGACTGACTCACCTGGGCCATGTCCTCGTGCGTCATGCCCAGAACGTCCTTCATCAGGTGGTAAGCCTCACAGATCAGCTGCATGTCACCGTACTCGATCCCATTATGCACCATCTTCACAAAGTGCCCGGCCCCCTCGTCTCCCACCTGTCAGGGCGATAAGCAACAGGAGGCCTTCAGAGCCAAGGACTACACAGGAGGAGTCTCAGAAGACTCCAGAAAGGCTCCACGAGAAAACAGTACTTTTTATTAGGAACCTTCCAACATACCCAATCTCCTCAGCCTGTATTTCCCACTGTTAAAAGCAATTCCCTACTTCCCAGCTCCAGCCACAATTTAAAGTCTCCATGTCTCGATGTTACCACATTTCTGGCAATTGCCGGTTAAAGTAAATTACTTGCATTTTTCCTACAAATGTAATATAGTCATTCCTAATAGCTACTGAGGGTCAAACACCCTTATAGCAAGGTATCACCTTGACATTTTAAGACCAGAAATGCATTCTTTCATGGCCCCATCACTGGCTAAGCTAGTAGGATGTAACCATTTATCAGTTTATCATGGGGACTTTCGCGGCTCTATCGATGCTGGGATGTTTCTACAGGACAGAGGCTTTCTCTATCGCTGGCCTGCCCCTTCGGATTTGGACCCTGGCTGCAGTATGAGGACATCTTACTTCACCTTCCTGTTGCTCTGGCACTCCATGCATGGCCTAGGGTCACCTGCTTCATCTTTCTATACCAAGCTGCAGCCCACAGCCATCACCCCTGGTTGAGGCAAGAGCCACAGGTGCAAGCTGGCTTTTCCTTTTGACTTTGTCCAAGAGGGAGTTAAGAGGAAGCTACCGTCACAGCACGCTAACAGTAGTGCTCTGCCATCAAGGAAGGAGTCTCTTAGACTAAGACTGGACAGACTGGGCAGCTTTCACAACACAGCCTCTGACCACCCCTAGCAGAGGATGACTGAACTTGACACCGACCCCTGGGGAAAGGCAGCCACCAACGCTGGCAGGTCAAGGGGGGGGTGTTTCTCTTACGCCCACTGGGTCCTTACGTTATCCCTACTCTTAATTATACTTATTACTAAAACACTAAAGTGAACATATAAAATAACAGGTATAAAAAAGGGGAGCTAGGTGTGGTGGTGCACAGGTCTGCAATTCAGGAGACTGAGGAGGGAGGACTAAGGGCCCAGGGCCTGTGTGGGCTACATAAGCGTTGAGGATGGTCAGATGGCCCAGCAGATACAGGTACTCGCTGCCAAGCTGGAAGACCTGAGTTTGAATTCCAGTCCACATCGTGGAAGGAGAGACCTGACTCCTACAAACTGTCCTCTGACTCCACATGCAGACTCGAACTCTCCCATGCTTAGACAGACACCAGATAGATAAATGTAACTCAAAGATAGATGGACAGACAGACGGTGGAAGGGGAAGAGGAAGGAAAGGGAAAAAAAGAAAAGAAAGTAAAATTAAAGGAAAGGAAAAGAGGAAGAAAAGAACAGAGAGAGACTGTAGCCAGGCTGGGTGTTTCTCACAGAAGCCTTCCTGCGGTGACCTGCCCAATCAGTTAGCAAAGTCCTGGCCACACTCTTGCCTCCTTAGGCCGATGTGCTTTTTCAATTCACGGTGTGGCTGAATGTCACAGATGGGATAATATTTATTCTCACAGCAACACCCAACAGGAAGGAAAGGGCCTATGGCCACTCCTGAGCTTTGGTGAACATCCAAGAACAGAAAACCCACAAACCAGGCTATGCAGAGAGATCCCTCCATCCTCATGGCCTGAGACACCAGGCGTGACGAGGCAGCAAACCCACTTTAATCTTGGCATCCTCTGGCCATGAAGTAAACAGCTATAAAGACTCCTCTCAAGTTCTGGCTGCTATTTATGAATCCTCCTTTTAGTAGGACTGAGGAGCTGCTTAACACAGTAACCACCAGGCCTGAAGAGTTGGAGAGGGTACAAGGGCCTTCAGACAGACAGGTATGGGCTTCAGGCAGCAGCTGGGCAGTGACTTAGACTAAGACGCTTACAGCACAGAGCTAACCCCTGGGACCAAGGTGGCCTCTCTTCAGCTGTGTGCTGTTCAAAGGGGGGCCCAGAACTTGCCCAGTCACAGCAAGGTTCTCCAGTCCCGACTTTTGCAGCGATGGCTTGGAAGATCGTCTTGATGTGGGGCCTGTGGAAAGGGGAAGTACAGTTCAGCCAACCACACAAGGCCTGACCTTTCAGGTCGACGCTCAAGGACGCCACTCTAAGAGTAACGGATGTGCTCAACGTTCCAGAGATGCTCTGGTCCCGACTGCCGACAAGTGTGCACCTCCACACCCTGTGTGTGGGCCTGAGAGTGGAGGACACCGGAGTCCACACAAAGGAAAAAGCAAGGCAGATGCACCACAGAAGCGCCGGAAGAGATGCAAGGGATGTGGCTCAGCGGTAAGGCGCATGTTTAACATGCAGGAAGCCCTGGGTTCCAACCCCAGCATCTCGATACCCGGACCCCACAAAGCACTACAAGAATCCTCCATCCCTTTATGAGAACAACCATGATTCCAACCCAAGCATCACAAGAACACCTTCAAAGACACCCTGCCCATCTGGATGTCTGTTACCAGGTACAAGACGACCCTGCACATTTGATCACAGACAAGCCAGGACTGTACAGACACTCACCTGGAGCAAAGACACCCTCGAGTCATCCCACCCTCATTATGAGCTCACAGCAACTGCTAGGACCTTCCCCTCTCTATTCTACCCAAGGAAACTGTGTCCTTCTCGAAGCCTTTTGGTACAGATCTCCAAACCTACACCTGAATGTCAAAGCCTGGGACTGGACTAAGGTACCCTCAGTTTCCAAACTTGGGTGATCTGTCCCTGACAGGACACAGGAGAGAGGGAAGCAAGCACATACTGGACATAAGAACAAAGTGTCTAGATGGCAGAAATGTGCCGGTGCCTCCCAGCTCTAACTCCTCCATGCCCACAGATCAAGCACAAAACCGTCTCCCCATCCTGTTCACTCCAGGCTGGGCCTGGGCTGAAATGCACGTGGTACTGATACTCACCAAGCCTCTTTGTTCCCTCCTGGCATGAGTGACGGTCCATACCGAGCCCCTTCCTCTCCACCACTGACTCCACTCCCCACGAACAAGATCCCCTTGGCCTTGAGGTTCCTGCATCTTCTCTAAAAGAGAGAGAAACAATTTTAGGGTTTTCTCACAAAAATAAGTTTCTCTTGATGAAGGAGAGGATGGGTGGGGCCAATACAGAGAGCTCATATTTGCTACTAAATGACACAACAGACTAGGAGTAGCCAACCACTGAGAGGATCTGTGCATTCAATGTGGATGTCTAAACTTTCAAAAGTGCTAACAGACGTCTCTGTAAAAAATTAAGAGAAAAACCTGATTTTTGAGATATCTACACCATCCCCAAGGGGGTTACCTGAATACACGTTCCTGTCTTAATGGACAAGACTTTACAGGGTAAAATGCAGCAAAGACAAAGTTCTGTGGGCGATTTACACATTTCACACTTCAGGCCGCATGACTTGCCTTGGCATCTGACATGGTAAAGGCAGTGCTTCTCAACCATGGTGCACAGTGGCATGCCATGTGTCAGAGAAGGCAGAGATCATGCAAAAAAGCTCTCAGCCTGTGGTACCTAAGCCATCGTCTCTTGAGTTACCGACACTTGGAACTAGGAGCCTCATCAGTCAAGTGTCTTAGCCCGGCAGCACCAACCCCTAAAGTATCACAAGACAGTTCACTCTTGTGTCACATTTACAATGCTAATGTTTCTTTCTAGAACGTTCTCCAGGCCCAAAAGACTGAACTGAAGAATACTTACTGTCGTATCTCGGTATTCAGAATTTCCTCCATCAATGATGATATCACCAGTGTCCAACAATGGTACCTGTAACCAAATACTAGTAAGACAGAATAATACACACCTTGGCTCCTAAAAACAAGAACTTACCCCAAATAAACAAATAAACAGGGAAAGCATTCACTATGTAGACTCCATGATCCTCTCTGGCTCTAACTGCACCTTGAAGTTGGAGGCACAGACCCGCCCACAACATACTCTTTCACTCCCCTGCTTGGCCCCTCCCTCCTTGGCAGGTTCTCCCAGTGCAGCCCTGGGTGGCCTGGAATTTGCTATGGCCTCACTCCCAGAGGCCCACCTGCCTCTGCCACGAGTCCTAGGATTAAAGGCGTGCGCCACTGCCTGGCTGCCAGTTGTCAGCCTCCCCTTCCAAAACTCCACTTGACTTCACTTTAGTACTTTCCTTGGCTGAGGAAAAAGCAGCCAGCTTTCCGGCCCACTGCTAACGTAGGGCAGTCTGGTATCACCATCAAGCTGCACAGGAAGTTTAGTATGTCCTTTATCACAGCATCCTTCCTGTCAAAGCCGCTTATTTAAATAGCAGCAAACTGGTTACAGGGTTCCCTCTCTTGGATACAAACCTGGTAAAGATACTCTGCCTTAGATACCGTGATCACATTATTTCTAATATCACTTCCAAAGCAGTGCCTTCCTCCCACCCAGTGGTTACTGCAGTTATTTCTGAGTATCTAAATGATTTTTTTATACTTGTTCTCCTTCATTCATAAACATATTTTCCCTACAAAGATATTCTTTTTAAAGCCAGTAAAATAGTACAAGGATGTTAAATAAAACAACTATGTATGACAATTGTTATTTTATAGGAGTACCAATCCATTTTGGACACTACGGTTTACTAGTGAGCAGCACTAAATGTTCATAAACATTACAGCCAACATTGTAAGAGACCAGAGCTGGGGATACATCTCAGTGCTACAGTGCTCAGAGGCCTTGGGTTCTGTTCCTCAGTACCAAACAGGCATGAAAAATGGTTAGAGGGTGACTATAATCCTAGTACAAGTAGACTGAGGCAGGAGGACTGTCAAGATTACCAGGACAGCTAGAAATAAAAATACACAGTAATGTTCTGTCTCAACAGAAAAACAAAAAACAGAAAAACATCTGGGATATGGCTTAGGCAGGGTGTTTGTGTTTATGTACTGGAGCCAGAGAAACACAACAGCAATACAACCACACACACACTAGGACAACACAAGACTGTCAGATGACACAGACATTAATAGACAACTACTGTTCAGATGCCGTTATTCTTCATAAACTAAAGATTCCTTGGTGTCCAAAATTACAGCATTATGGCTCAGTGGGTAAAATCATCTGTTGAATAAGCCTGATGACCCAAGCTTGATCCCAGTAGACAAAGAAAAACTGGAAGAAGCCTGGCAGTGGTGGCGCACACCTTTAATCTCAGCACTCGGGAGGCAGAGGCAGGCGGATCTCTGAGTTCGAGGCCAGCCTGGTCTACAAAGTGAATTCCAGGATAGCCAGGGCTACACAGAGAAACCCTGTCTCAAAACCCCCCCAAAAAGTGGAAGAAGGCAAAGTTGTCCTCTGGCCTCCACCTGCATGGCCCCCAATAATAACAATATGTTAAACTAAAATAGAATCTTAGGCTCAGTGGGTAAAGTTCCTCTCTCATCAAGCCTGGAACCACACAGGGAAGTAGAGAGTCTACCCCCACAAACTGTCCCCTGACCTCTACATCCAATGTGTCATGCTTACACCCACACAAATACTAGATAGATGCTTTAAAACAAATACGGCTGGAGAGATGGTCTAAGAGCACTGAGGACCTGGGTTCGATTCCTAGCATCCACACGGCAGGTCACAACTGCCTATTAACTCCAATTCCAAGGGGCCGGACACTCCTCTGGCCTCCTCAGGCACTTTATGAATGTGGTGCAGTAACCTACGCAGGCAGAACATTCACACACATGAAACAAAATGAACACAAAATCTTTTTAGAAAAAGAATACAAAGAGTTACTATGGTGTAAGTGCCAATCAAGCCAACCAAGACTGAATGAGCCAAGCAATCCTTTCCTCAGAACTCATCAGCTCATACCAGGAAACTGAAAATAAAAAGATCCCTGTGGTAGGACGGTTAGAGGGAAACAGACAAGGGCTCTGAGGCACCAGGGGAGTCTGGAGAACAGGGCAGCCCTTACTAGTTTCTCGATGAAGTCATCGACAGCTTGCCCGGCCTTCACAAGAAGTATGATCCGACGGGGCTTCTTCAGCTTGGAGACCATCTCCTTCAAGGACTGTGCACCAACCACTTTGGTTCCCTTTGCCTCATTGGCCAAGAAGTCATCAACCTTGGAGACCGTCCTATTGAAAGCACAGACCTAGAGGACAAAAGGTGCTCTTAGAGGATCTGGGACATGCATGACCTTCGGGTGGTGGATCGAGAACCACCAAATGTCTGTCTGGCCCATCGACTAAAGGGAACTGGTCTGCCTTCTCTTTTTCTGAAGTGCCAGGCGATCCTCGCAAAGTTAGGTTACAGCAGGATGAAACAGCAGAGAACCACCAAGGCAAAGGCCAGCCGCCACTTGTTGCTTATCAGGTTGAGCCTGTCACTATTGCTAGGCCTTTTGTCTCGTAATCCTGGCATCTAAGGCATGTTACTATTTAGAAAGAACATTCAGAGCCTACAGGCAGGAGGATCCTGCAGACCCAGCTAGTCAGCAGGCTACGATGAGGGTTCCTTTGAGCCCTGTAGCTGAGACTCCAGTGTGGCAACACCGTGAGACCCTGTCTGCAAGGACAAAGCAACTCCATTTTCATTTGCGGAGTCTCCCTAGCCAACTCAATGCCATAGCCTCCAAGATCAGTGGTTCTGAACCTTCCCAAGCCTGCCAACCTTTAACACAGTTCCTTACGTTGTGGTGACCTCAACCATAAAACTAGTTTTGCTGTTTTCATTAACTACTTCACGGCTGTAATCTTGCTACTGTTTTGAGTCCCAATGTAGTTATTTTTGGAGACAGAGGGTGGTCAATGGGGTCGTGACCCACAGGTCCAGAACCACTGCTTTACATTCCAAGGAGACTTCACCTACAGGGTCAGCACAAGGCAAGCAGGGTTTCTTTTACAATCTTCAGTTACGAGCTATCAGGGCTTACTGAGAAGCACCCTCCAGCAGCCATGTGATCTGTGAAAAATTAGCCGGTGCTCACCGCGGGAAGGCAACGTGTCCCCACCACTTACCACAAATCCATGGTCATTCATGTTCAAAATTAAGTTCTGGCCCATGACAGCCAGTCCAATCAGTGCAATGTCAGCTCTGAAAGGCCGGAAAAAGAACAAGGGAAGGATGTTAGTGCCACTTGATCGCTTTTAATAGGACAGGCAGCCTGCACCTCCCATCGGCGCTCGCACCGCAAGCACCTGGGACCGCCCGCACCCGGCACCCCGCTGCTCCACGGACCTTGAAGTTCCTTCTAATGGGCGTCCGGGCACACGAAGTCCCCAGTGCCCTGGCCATCACCCCTGCAGGCCTGGCCCGCGGAAGGGGCGTGGGCCGCCCCCCACCCACTGCGGCCTGCCTTGCCCGCGAGCTCCCGGGCAGGGGCGGCCGGGCTCGCGCTGGGACCCCGAGGTGCACGGGTGCGGGCAGCGCAAGGAGGGCCAGGCGACCCCGGGGCCGGGGGAGCAGGGAGACAAGCAGGCGGAGCCCGCCATCACCACGCTCATCCCCGGAAGTGTCCCGGGCCCGGCTGCGCGTGCCGGTCACTCACTGGGCCATGGCGACGGCGGGCAGAGCAGAGGCGACCAGGAAGAAGCGCGAAGAAGGGAGCACTCCCAGGCAAGTGCGGCGACGTCCGGCTCCCGGCGCCTCAGGAGGCTTACCACGACACCGACCAATCAGAAGGCAGGGGCGGGGCTATGTCCCACGCTATTGGTTCGCTCCGGCGCCTGTTACAACACCTGAGGGCAAACGGGCCCGCCCACCTCCGGGGCCAGAGCTATAGAGCGCCGAGCAGTCGATTGTAGCCTGAGCGCCAGAGGAGCGTTAGCAGGTCTTGTGCAAGAGGTCTAGCGGATTGCACGCTGCCTCCTGCTTTTTCAGGGGTCCGATCTGCAGAAAGGGAAGGCCCTGGGCTTGGTGCAGCCTTAAATATGTAATTCTTTACAGTTTACAATGTACCCAGCCCACTGGCGCGAGCCACTGGCGCGCTTGGTCCGTGACTGCTGACTCCCTCAGCTCTGAGGCAGGAATCCAGTCTGTCGTCCCTGTGGTAACCCAGTGTGGTGAGCGTGTACCATTTCTGCAGCTCCAGAAACAGCAGCGCACACTGGGGCGAGATGGTCCCCGGGTAAAGCTCCAAGAGGGTGGAAAGAGAACCCATTCCACAAAGTTGACTTCTGACCTCCATGGGCAGTAGTGGCCCCTGCGCCCACATGCCCGGAAAGAGGAGAGAGGGGTGGAGGAGAAGCTTGAGGGACGTTTGGGTTTTGTTTGATTTTAGTTTATTATTATTATTTTATGTGTATGGGTTTTGCCTGCATGTGTGTCTGTGTACTTCATGTGTGCCTGGGGGTGGGCTTGGACTGGGTGCTTTGGAAAAGCACCTATGGGATTTTTTTGTTTGGTGGGTTGGTTTTGTTTTTGATCTTTTGAGACAGGGTTTCTCTGTGTAGCCCTGGCTGTCTTAGAACTCGCTCTGTAGACCAGGCTGGCCCGGAACTCAAGAGATGTGCCTGCCTCTGCCTCCTGAATGCAGTTGGCAGAGTGGTTCTCTACTGCACATGAAGACCTGGGTTCTATCCCCAGCACCCATAATCCCAGCCGTTGGGCGTGGCCATCGTTTTCTTTGCTGTTTCTCCCTTGTCCTGTTTCTGTGCCTCCCTTCTCCATGTAGGATCACTGGGGTTACCGTCTGCTCATGCTCTGGCTTTTCATGGGTCCTGGGGTTCAGATCCCAGTAAGGCCTTTACTGGGCCGGGTGTTAGTGGCACGCTCCTTTAATCCCAGCACCAGGAGGCAGAGGCCAGCCTGGTCTACAAAGTGAGTTACAGGATGGCCAGAGCTAAACATGAGATCCTGTCTCAAAAAACAAAAACAACAGCAACAAAAAAAAAGCCCAGCCTTATGGTTTTACAGAACATGCCCCAGGCTTGGCACTATCAGGGTACAGTTAAGGCCGCTCACACCCTGAGAAGCCCAGAAGAGGGAGCTGAGTACTGGGCTGTTGTGAACTGCTTGACAGGTTGCTGAGATCCAACCTTCTGAGCAGCATGGGCCGGTTCTCAGCTGATGAACCAGCTTCCCAGCTACAGTTACTAGGTTTTTATTTGTTTTGTTTTGTTTTCTGGACAATGTTTCTCTGTATAACCAACTGCCCTGGCTGTCCTGGAACTCACTCCATAGACAAGGCTGGCCTCAAACTCTGAGATCCACCTGCCTCTGCCTTCTGAGTGCTGGGATTAAAGGTGTGTGCTACCATCGCCCAGCAGGTTACTAGCTTTTTTTTTTTTTTTTTTTTTTTGTTTTTTGAGACAGGGTTTCTCTGTGGCTTTGGAGGTTGCATCTGTAGACCAGGCTGGTCTCGAACTCACAGAGATCCTCCTGCCTCTGCCTCCTCAGTGCTGGGACTAAAGGCGTGCACTTCCACCATCTGGCCTCCTTTCTTTTTTTTAATGATAATTTTTAAAATTTTAATTTGAAGCAGGCTTGTTTTACATGTCAATTCCAGTTCCCCCACCCTCCCCTGCCTCTCCCACCCCCGTTTCTCCCTCTCTCTTTTTTAAAATGTATGTATTATTTTAGGGGTGCTCTAGGAGTTTACCTGCAGTCTAGAAGAGGGCATCAGATCTCATTACAGATCGTTGTGAGCCACTGTGTGGTTGCTGGGAATTGAACTCGGGATTTCTGGAAGAGCAGCCAGTGCTCTTAACCACTGAGCTACCTCTAGGCCCCCAGTTACTAGCTTTGTGGTTTTTGCTTTTCTGAGGTGAGTCTTCATAACAAAATGGGCTCAGAACTGGATCACTTGGCCCTTTCTCTCCTTAGCGCCTCCCAGTTGAAGGCGCTTGTATCTCTTTCCAGCCAGCATCCTCTTGGATCTGCAGTTGGGCCCAGCACGCTCAGGTCTTCTTTGTGGTTTTAGCCTTTTTTGTGGAAAGTGGGCTCAGTCTGCCCACCGTAGCCACTGTTTCCCGTCACCACGCCGAGTTCTCTGAATATACGGAGACCTCTTGCCCTTCTTGTCCTGGGTCCCTTTGTGGGTTGCTGCTTGCCACATTTCTTGCACCATGTTGGTAGAAGTGACATGGCCACCGAGAGATTTGCAATTCTCAGTTCCACCCCCTGGGATTACAAGCGCATGCCACAACACCCAGCTCTAAGGCCTTCCTCTTAGGTCCAGTGGGAAGGAGCTGGGCCAGCTGCCTTTCCCCGGAGGACCCGGAGGACCGGGACACTTTGGGATTGCTCCTGTACTGGATGCCACCACCATGGGCATTTCTCTCTCACAAGCTGGATTCAGCACTTAGCTTTATAGCAAGTAAGGACAAATCCAGAAAATCTAGGAGGAGGCTTCACAGAGCTAAAAAGGGTGCCATTGCCTTACAAGAGCCCTGTGGCTGTGACTGTGGGCTTTTGCCTGCCCTGCTGCTTTCCCAGGACAGGCTATAAAAAAAGGGATGTTGTATGAGCCAGTGGTGGGTGCAAAGCCCTGTCAGTCGCCCACAATGCCAGAGTACCAAACACACGAAGGCAGATGAACCGCGAACACTGCAAAGCTGGGTGTGGTGGCCCACTCCTGCAATTCCAGTCCTGTACAGCAGAGGTGGGAGGGCTGTTCAGAGTTCAAACTCAGCCTAAGCTGTATAGTGAGCTCCAGGCCGCGGGGGCTGCACAGTGAGACTGTCTTTAAAAATCAATCTCCCCGGGCTGGAGTGGTTGAGAGTGCTGACTGCCTTCCAGAGAACCTGGGTTCAAGTCCCAGCACCCACACCGAGCACGTGTGTGTGCAATGCCCACAGAGGCCAGAGGAGGGCACCAGATCCTCTGTGAAATGTAGTTGCAGATGGTTGCAAAGAGCCACAGTGGCGTGATCTTTACCGCTGGGCTACCACTCCAGCCACAATAACGGTTTCCTGGTCAGGAGATGTAGGATGGTAGGATACTGTCCTAGTACATAAAGCCCTTGGCTTAATCTCCAGCACCTTGTAAAATGGAGTGTGCTGATACATGTGTCTGTAATCCCAGCACTTGGGAGGTAGTAGCAGGAGTATCAGAATTGAGTTCCAGGCCAGCTGGAACTTTTATGAGACCAAATATGTGTGTGTGTATGTATGTATCCAATATGCATATGCATTATGTAATGATTTGTGTGTGTGTGTGAGAGAGAGAGATTTATGTGCATTTACCTGCCTGTATGTCTGTGTGAGAGTGTTAGACTTGTAGTTACAGTTATTAGCTGCCATGTGGGTGCTGGGAATTGACCCCGGGGCCTCTGGAAGAGTAGTCCATGCTCTTAACTGCTGAGCTATTTCTCTAGCACCCCCTCCCATTTTTTTTTTTTTTTTTTTTTTTTAGTTAGAAAAAAAAAATCATCTTGTGTGAGATGCCCAGGGAATTAGTGTTGGAACAGAACTTTAATCCCAAGCCCAGCCGGGACCAAGCCCGGGACTGCTTTTCTTGTTTTGTGTTTTTAAAACAGGATCAGCAAGGCAAGATCATACCTACTTACAACTTGCAAAACTGGCTACCTCTGTGTATTAGAGTTTAGTTGACTTCAAACGGAAGCCTGTATTGAAGTTTTCAATGAGCAGTTTGGGAGAACAGGCATTTGTAGGAAGCATGGCTCTTGTAAGAGAAGCTTGGCGACAGGCACACCTTGCAACTTGGTGGCAGCTCCTTCCTCCTTCTGTGGGCTTGCTTCCAACAACAGTTTGCAGTCAGTTCGCTGCAGGAACAGGTTGATTGCTCTAGTCTGAGATTTAACAAGGGAGGAATTATGCTGAGTCAATGTGACTAAACATCTGGCCTTCCCTAAGTCACCGCTGAACAGACATGGCTTTAAGCACACGTACTCAGAGATCAGATGTCTGTTTTTCTAATTAAACCCTCAATTGGATTGTCCAGTTTTGTGTTAAGGTACTGGGGGGGGGGGGTACTGCTTCCCAGGAGTGTTGGGAAATGATAGTACAGTGGCTAAGAGAGATGAGAGAGAGCAGGGCCAGTGGCCCTGGGGGCACCAGTCACACCGCCAAGTGTGCTGGATGAGATGCTTAAAACTTAATCTACTTGAAAACCTTTTTTGGCTTGACCTAACCATCAGGAAAGGTCAGACACCACCAGCCCTCAGAAGGCTGTGGCAGGGGTACTGAAAATGAGGCCAGCCTGAGCTCCAGAGACCTCACCTCAAAAATTAAAGGGCTGGTGATGTAGCTGCGTGGCAGAGCATTTGTCTAGCAAGTACAAGGCCCTGGTTCAATCCCTAACACCTCAAAACAAAACTACAAAACAGTCAAAAACCTCACTCCCTTGGAGAAAATCCCCAGGCAGGAGCCCATGTTTAACTTACGTAAGAGG